CTCACCGGTCATCAGTCCGATCTGCAGCCGACACACAGGCCACCTGTCTCGGATTATCCACCGGACAAACACCGCTGGAAAACTGCTCCTGGATGCTCCGGAGAAAAAACATTTTTACACTGAATTTTTGAGACTTTTAGAGACTTTTAGAGACTTTAGAGACTAAAAAACACAAACACGGAGATCTGCACCGTCTTCACCACTTTTTTCGTTCGGGAAATGTTTTTTTGTATGTCGTTTTTGAACTTTTTTTCGGGGGAGGAATCATTAATTTCATAATTCTGCAGGAGATAAGACGTTTATTCTTGGAACGAAACTAACCTGACACTTCTTCATCAAACCGAAACACTTCAAACTCTTATAATATTCATTTAAAACCACAACTAATCAGTATTCCTCTACAGTCTCTTTAGGTGAATATTAATTGATATGTTATAGTAATTTCCTCCTGTGATTCATTATTATATCCTCTAAAACTAATTGTTATAATAATAATAATATATTTCATTGTTATAGCGCTTTTCCTAGAGCTCAAAGACGCTTATAAGAACAGAGAAAGGGGTTTGAAACGTTTTCTTTGAACAAAAAAAACCCTCCACACTTCTACCGGGAGACACGCAGACTTCTCCCCGCCCTACATGCACCATGAAGCGGCCTTGTGAGGACAGCAGCTCCGCAGAGAGCGACCTGGAGGAGAACATCGATGTGGGAAGAGAGTGCCTTTATCCAGGGTGAGACTTTCTGCATCATATTTTATTAGTAAAAGCTTCTGTGGGTAACCATTAAATCTATATATAAATAAATAAACATTCATCTGTTTGTCATCTTGCAATCTACGTATTTATATAAATAGACAGTTATCACCGCAAAAACCGTATTTAATTTGGTCTTAATGTACATTATTTAATTTAATATTCTGTTCTTGTACATATCATATTCTGTTTACATGTATAAAGACTTCTTGCACTATTTTTTATTTCTTATTTTTGTATTTTATTATATATGTTGCATCTGTTGAATTTATATAATAATGATTATGTTGATTTAAAGTTAAAATATTAAAAGAAAGGCATTCACGTAAAAGTGGTGTTCATGCATGAAACACATCTACAGAGCACGCCTTTGGTTTTAATATTATTTTAAGATATACTCATGGTCTGCAGCTTCTTTAAAGCATATAATTTGTTTAAATATTAGGATTATTTATCTTGTAATTCCAGGATTTAAAGGTTACTTCCGTGAAAAAGTGCTATATCAATAATGTAATGTGTTGATCTCTCCAGAACAACATCAACCTGCTTAATTAAAAAGATACAAACACATTTAAATAGAAAATTAAATCATTAAAAACTCAAAATCATTATTCGATGCACAAGAGGCTCCTTTATTTTGTTTTGGATGAAGTCCACAAGATGTGTTGTATTGCATGACACTAACACATTACTGCTGTTATTACATCATAATAATAATACATATTTGAATAAAACACTGTATAATCCTCCAGATCCATGTTGGACTTTGGACAAAATAGACCATTTATTGGGTTTAAAATGGTTAAATTAAAAAATTAAAACAGTGTCACGTGTCTGTTTTCAAGTTAGCTAAACCTACATAAACTACATTTCCCATAATCCCATGCAGCAACTTCTACAATAAAAGTATCTTAAACAGATGCAAGTAGAAACAGAAGCAATACATATTTACCTTAAAGTGGACCTATCATGCTATATTTGAATAATATAGTGTAGGACCATACCTATATAAGGCATATTTATACTTTTTTTTTTTCAAAATACCAAACAGATCATGCATTTTAGCCATGCCTCATTTCGCTCAATTTGAAAAATGTTACCCCTGTTTTTGCAAGGGCAGATTCTGTGAGAACAGCACCATCTACAGGCCTGGCATATGTACTACAGCGTCTCCAGCGCTTTCGAACGGCAATGGCCGTGGCTGTCTCCTCCTGATTGGTGGAGTTGGCCCAATAGCCGTAGCGCCACCGTCCTGACGTCAGGACAGTGTTCAAATCTGGATCAGTTTTTATCAGATCCGTTGCAGCCCCTTTTTTAGAGCTTTGGGTATGGAGGAAAATAGAGAGGGTTGTGTTTTCTGACACTTGGTGAGTTCCCTGGAACACCGGGGACACATATTCATGTAGAAAAGACGTACACAAGTGCATTTTGCATGATAGGTCCCCTTTAAACAGTATTTACTCCACTTTTCTTTTTGATTAAAGTCTCCGATGTGTTAGTAACCGCTCAGTTTGAAGTTCAATCAGGAGAGGCTTCATTTTGTTTAAAGAACATTTATTGACACATGCCATATGATAAATGTTAAGTCTTTGGCGATTAGACCCCGATCCTGAAATGGTATCTCTAAAGGGGAAATGCAGCCGTGAGCATATAGGGAACCCCCCGGGTTCTAGACACTGGTGATGATGATGAAGATCTGGATTTGTTGAAAGGAGGTGGATGGGGAGGAGGTGGATGGGGAGGAGGTGGATGGGGAGGAGGTGGATGGGGAGGAGGTGGATGGGGAGGAGGCGGGCGGCAGCATGAACACCTGAAATCACAGCTGACTGCAGGAGAGAGGAGAACCATTTTAAAGTTTGGCTGCAGCTCAGTGATTGGCTGCTGGAGATTGAGGTGAATGTAATAGGTTAGCAGGAAGCCCGTGATGAGCGGATTATAAGCAGCTGTGGAGGGAATGTATACACACCCAGTCTTCCTGACAGAACTTGCGTTGAGCTTCATTTAAACGTGTTTATTGTAATGCTTTTGTTTGATCATTATGTTGTGTTTCAGGCACATGATGAGATCCCCGACCGCCAACACTCAAGTGACGGCGAGGAAAAAACGCAGAGGGGTAAATCACTTATTTATTTTATTCAGTGATACTAATATATTCTACTTAGGAAAAAGTAATATCAGAATATTGGGTTTATATATTGGGGACATTTCATTTTGTGAAAGTGGCTCCATTTTAGAATTCAATTAAATCAACATAAAGTAAGAATGTGCAAAACTAATTTAACATATGTATATAAACATATATAATAATATAATAGCAAATATTGTGTTCTTGGTGTACAGAGTTAATGAGTATACCTGTAATAATAAACATCATGTTATCTGTTCAAAGTAACTACAGGTGTAAAAAAAACACAATATTTAGCTTTGTAAAGTGTCAGGAAATGGAAATACTCAAGTTAAATATCAGGATTTGTACTTAAGTTGCTGCAGTTTGTATTAGTGAAGTATTTCCTTTCTCTGCTGATGCGTTTAAAGAATCACAGTTTTTATTTTGTGATTGTATTTGTCAGATAATCGAGAAGAGGCGCAGAGACAGAATCAACAGCAGTCTGTCGGAGTTACGCCGACTCGTTCCCTCTGCCTTCGACAAGCAGGTATTAACAGAGATGTGAAGTATCTAAGTATTATTCAAGTACCGTTCTTAAGCATACTTTTGAGGTACTTGTGCTTTACTTGAATATTTCCATTTTATGCTACTTTGTACTTTTACTCCACTACATGTAATACCTTAAGTTACTTTACAGATCTGAGTACTTCTACTTTTACTCGAGTACAAGATCTGAGTACTTCTACTTTTACTCGAGTACAAGGTCTGAGTACTTCTACTTTTACTCAAGTACAAGATCTGAGTACTTCTACTTTTACTCAGGTACAAGATCTGAGTACTTCTACTTTTACTCGAGTACAAGACCTGAGTACTTCTACTTTTACTCAAGTACAAGATCTGAGTACTTCTACTTTTACTCGAGTACAAGATCTGAGTACTTCTACTTTTACTCAAGTACAAGATCTGAGTACTTCTACTTTTACTCAAGTACAATAACTGAGTACTTTTCCCACTTCTATTTACTTTCATAAAAACCTGTCTGAAAATGAGCTGATCAGATTTTGGCCACTTGATGATGTCATAACGATGTTTTGTCTTGTGTAACCATTAGCCAATCAGCAACCAAGGTAACCCCCCCCCCCCCCTTATCACCTGAATCTCCTCCTAGAGCACCATTGAGTTCTTTGTAACCAAATCTCTCTCAGAGGGGCGTGGGGAGGGGCTCCTTATTTTCATCTAAAGTAACAGACAGAATCAGCACTTTGGAATCAGGGCTGAAACAGAGGGGATTATGGGTAATGCTGCAATGATCTGTTTGGTGTTTCAGCCAATCAGAGACAGGCTCTGGATATATCTGAGACCTGTGATATATTGATGAGAAATACTTTAATAGGGGACCTTTAATTACATATTTAAGTTCACATGCATAACTGTTCTGTGTTGTTCCTCAGGGTTCAGGTAAACTGGAGAAGGCAGAGATCCTGCAGATGACTGTGGATCATCTGAAGCTGCAGGCCACCGCAGGGAAAGGTCAACTTTTTATACTTTACACACACACTTTTATAAGTAATACTATAACAGGTTTAGAGTATTCTCAAAATGATAATAAACTGTGTTTGTAAAGTACATTTATGTGACCGTGCTGTAGTTCCTTTATAGCCCAACATTAGCCACCTTTAGCTTAGCGGTGGTGACGTGAAGTCATGTGACCGTGCTGTAGTTCCTTTATAACCCAACATTAGCCACCTTTAGCTTAGCGGTGGTGATGTGAAGTCATGTGACTGTGCTGTAGTTCCTTTATAACCCAACATTAGCCACCTTTAGCTTAGCGGTGGTGACGTGAAGTCATGTGACCGTGCTGTAGTTCCTTTATAGCCCAACATTAGCCGCCTTTAGCTTAGCGGTGGTGACGTGAAGTCATGTGACCGTGCTGTAGTTCCTTTATAGCCCAACATTAGCCACCTTTAGCTTAGCGGTGGTGACGTGAAGTCATGTGACTGTGCTGTAGTTCCTTTATAGCCCAACATTAGCCACCTTTAGCTTAGCGGTGGAGACGTGAAGTCATGTGACCGTGCTGTAGTTCCTTTATAGCCCAACATTAGCCGCCTTTAGCTTAGCGGTGGTGACGTGAAGTCATGTGACTGTGCTGTAGTTCCTTTATAGCCCAACATTAGCCACCTTTAGCTTAGCGGTGGTGACGTGAAGTCATGTGACTGTGCTGTAGGTCCTTTATAGCCCAACATTAGCCACCTTTAGCTTAGCGGTGGAGACGTGAAGTCATGTGACCGTGCTGTAGTTCCTTTATAGCCCAACATTAGCCGCCTTTAGCTTAGCGGTGGTGACGTGAAGTCATGTGACCGTGCTGTAGTTCCTTTATAGCCCAACATTAGCCACCTTTAGCTTAGCGGTGGTGACGTGAAGTCATGTGACCGTGCTGTAGTTCCTTTATAGCCCAACATTAGCCACCTTTAGCTTAGCGGTGGTGACGTGAAGTCATGTGACCGTGCTGTAGTTCCTTTATAGCCCAACATTAGCCTCCTTTAGCTTAGCGGTGGTGACGTGAAGTCATGTGACCGTGCTGTAGTTTCTTTATAGCCCAACATTAGCCTCCTTTAGCTTAGCGGTGGTGACGTGAAGTCATGTGACCGTGCTGTAGTTCCTTTATAGCCCAACATTAGCCACCTTTAGCTTAGCGGTGGTGACGTGAAGTCATGTGACCGTGCTGTAGTTCCTTTATAGCCCAACATTAGCCACCTTTAGCTTAGCGGTGGTGACGTGAAGTCATGTGACTGTGCTGTAGTTCCTTTATAGCACAACATTAGCCTCCTTTAGCTTAGCGGTGGTGACGTGAAGTCATGTGACCGTGCTGTAGTTCCTTTATAGCCCAACATTAGCCTCCTTTAGCTTAGCGGTGGTGACGTGAAGTCATGTGACCGTGCTGTAGTTCCTTTATAGCCCAACATTAGCCTCCTTTAGCTTAGCGGTGGTGACGTGAAGTCATGTGACCGTGCTGTAGTTCCTTTAGAGCCTAAGTAAGCTTTTTACTTCAGAAATCCATTCATAATCCAAAATGGAGAAATCCGATAGATGCCTTCAGGGACCAACACAGAAATACCACATCTCTGCTTCCCTCTCACAGTATTTAACTCCCCCCCCCCCCCCCCTCTCTCTCTCTTTAGGTTATTTTGACGCCCATGCTCTGGCGCTGGACTTCCTGTCTCTGGGTTTCCGGGAGTGTGTGACGGAGGTTTCTCGTTTCCTGAGCTCCGTGGAGGGTCTGGACCCCGAAAACCCCCTAAAATCCCGCCTCCTCTCCCACCTTTCCTCCCATTTACACCCCCAAAACCACCATCACCACCTCCAGTACCACCAGCAGCCTCTCCCTTTATCTCCCCCCTTCTTCCCCCATCATTTGGCTGCGTTTCGACCTCCATATGGACTCAACATGGGAGACGGAGGTCATGTTTTGGATGTTTTTCAACGCAATGTCGCCTCTTCATCACCTTCTTCTTCCTCCTCTTCCCTCCTCTCACTCTCTACTTCATTTCCTATTGGTTTCCCCATCCTCCCTCCTTCCTCTTCCTCTTCTTCGATTCCTCTCCTCAGCGGCACTAAACCCTACCGACCGTGGGGAACTGAAGTCGGAGCTTTCTGATTTTAAAACAGCCTAAAATAACTTTAAAACACAATTTAAATATGCCTGCTACTTCCTGTCCAATGTGCATTTCAGAGAAGTTAAGATGAAATTCTTCTCCTCCAACAATGCAACATATATAATAAAATATAAAAATATAAAATTGTGCAGGCAGTCTATATACATGTAAATAGAATATGATATGTACAAGAACAGAATAGTTATTAATTATTATAGTAATTAACCGCCACACTGCAGCGATGGGTGCAGCTTTTCTATCATGTGTCCCTCCCAATTAGCCGATTTGGGTTTACAAATGTTCCTTTATCCATTGGCTGTTTATAAAACGAGAGGGCTTTCACCATTGGCTGTGTCAGATGTCAATCAATAAACAATCATGATGGGTGTAGTGGGAGAAAGGACATTCAGAATTTTGAGAAAAAAAGTCAGTTAATTAGGAAAAAGTCTGAATTTTTTTTGAAAACGTCAGATATTTAAATAAAAAAAGTCAGAATTTTGAGTAAGCAAGTTTGAATTTTGAGGCAAAAACATCAGAATTTTGAGAAAAAAAGACAGCATTTTTAGAAAATCGTCAGATATTGAAATAAAAAAGTCAGAATTTTAAAGTTTAAGAGTAAGAAAGTTTGAGGAAAAAAAGCGGCTGAAATACAGAACATTTAGCACACAGTGCAGCTCAATAAAGCTTCATATTTAGGCCCAAATTCCTATATATGAGTTGAGTTAATTAAAGGAATATCTTGGCCGATTTGGACCATTTTGTAATGGTCTTGGGGGTTATTGAGGATGCTGAGGGGTAAAAGAAAAGGCAGTTTTAAGCAGAAAGTGGCTGCTTTTGACTCACCACTTTCACACCAAGTACTTTGCCGTACTTAGTTCCCGAACTCTTTCGTCCTGGAACTGTCCTAGTAGATCGCGTTCACACCGGAATAAGTCCCGCAAATGAAGCCGCTTACGTCACTTCTTCTTCTTCTGCTTTGGGTTTACTGGCAGGCCACAAACAACTTCACGGCGTATACTGCCACCCGAAGTCCCTGGAGTTGGGGACTGGCTTCAGTAGAAGCTGCTGGGTCGCCAGAAGCGCCGACACCTCCTCATCTCCACCGATCCCATGTTTTCTTTTGTGTTGCCATAAGTTAGTCTCTCTCCGTTGGTGCACGGGGATAATGCTAATGCTAATAATGCTAATGCGAGCAAATAAAATGGCGGCTTCACAAAACTTTTCAACGTTTTACGGGGCGTGGTTTGCAATCCGTCCAGCCAATCAGAAATTGGAACCTTTTCCTCCCCAGGAAAGTCCCACCTCTCTAGCAGGGACTGAAAAGGTTCGCGAAAAAAAGTTCTAGTTCCAGATCTTTTTGGTGTGAACGCAAAATCCCAGGAACTATCTGCCTAGTTCTTGGGAAAAGTACTCCAGTGTGAAAGCGCCTAATGGGACTATACTGGGATCTAAATGGTTCCTTTCTTGCCTGGAAAAGTATTTAAACTCAACAGCATCTTATTGAAAACCTCTTCGGGGTGTTTCTGTGACGTTATGTCTTGAGAGCGACTAACATCTCTGTAAATGGGATTTTCTTTCACAATAACAACATATTTTACAGTTGATTTTGACTTTAAAAGCTTCTCCTTTAACACAGACTGAGGTAATGAAACAGGCAGCAGTCTCACACAGTTCATACTGGTGCAAACTGAGATGTATTAACACTATATTTGATCAAACTAAACACTTTTTGTTTACAAGTATTTTCATTGAATTCACTGTTTAATTCCCTGTGTGCCTTTTTACAAATAAAGATGGCGTAACATCGTAATGTCTGTTTCTCTTTTCCCTTCATACACTTTAAATGTTTTATTCATATGTAGACGGATTAAACCATCAAAATCTAACATGTTAACAATTAAAGTACAATTGTTAAGCTTTATCTACAGAAACAAATATTAAATCTGCAAAGCATGTTTTAAGTTAAGATGTGAACTAGATGTAAAAAGTGTAAAATGTGCCGACAAAATGTTTGTTTTTCTGCTTTCTGACGAATTCTGAGATTAAATCAGATTTGAGGGAAAAATGTAATCTATTTTTTTCTTAATGTCAGAATCTAGTGGATCGCCGGAGCATGTATTAACATTAACATGCTTATTGTAGTTGTAAGTGCACTGCCTTGCGGCCTGTAACACCATATGTGTGGGCTGGACCTGTATTTTACAGGAAAGGAGTGAGCAGAGGGTAGAATTGTCGATTCTTGTTCTGTTTGCTGTGACTATCTTCCAGACTTTCAGTTGAGCGCGCTACGCTACCATGGAAACCAAACAATGGTGTAGCTGTCCGAGTGGAAACAGTCCTGAGTCCTGAGTAAATCTGATTTTGTCAGAAATCGGGAGAAATGCGGGAGAAATATGACCCCGGGAGGAAACCGGGAGAGGGCAATGAAATCGGGAGTCTCCCGCGAAAATCGGGAGGGTTGGCAAGTTGAGACCCCAAAGTGTGCTGATAGACATGTACAGCAGGGTCTGCTGGATGCTAACCTGCATGTTGGGACATTTACACAATTAGCATAAATTGATGTTGGGGCGGACTGATTTTGATTCATTTTGGGTCCGTTTAAACGTCGTTGGGGACTGAAAACTGTCAAATTTGTCCAAAAAATGTATATTAATATGAATGCCTTTCTTTTAATATTAAAATTAACTAAAAGGCTTTTGTTTTATCTCTGAGATTAAAGTCAGGATTCTGACATTAAGAAAAAAATACATTACATTTTTCCCCAAAATCTGATTTAATCTCAGAATTCGTCAGAAAGCAGGAAAACAAACATTTTGTCGGCACATTTTACACTTTTTACTCCATTTCACATCTTAACTTAAAACATGCTTTGCAGATTTAGTATTTTTTCAGTAGATAAATATTAACAATGGCACTTTACTTTAATCTCAGAGATAAAACAAAAGCCTTTTGGTTAAATCCAAAATAAATCCCACTGTTCCATATCTCACCGTATCAGGTTATTAAGGTTATTAGATTATCCTGTACAGAGTAGCACATACACTATATATGTAATGTGATGAGCCGATTATAGAGGAACATACCTGTTTGATGAGTAGTATAAAGTACTGCCTGATATCATACAAGTACATATTGTGTTTTATTTGATATGTAAAAAGTAAGAGATGTGCAGGATTTACAATATTAAAAATACATCTGATAATTATGAACGAAAAAGAAACTCATCCAGTTGGTTTAGGGTTGGGTTTATTTATTAGTTTCGTGTTGTTTTTTTATCAAATGTATGAAAAATGCTGGAGAAGTCATTTTGAAGCACAAGTTGAAATGTGTTTCCAAGACAATTACATATATTTTAGTAAAGATAAAGATCTCAGATGTATTGTGAGTTTTTATCTGGAGATTCAGTGATCTGTCTTCTTGGTACAAATATTTATAAAGACAACAACAACAACATCTTGTGATGACAGGAAATCGGAGGAAATAAGATGTCTATAGTCCGGATCTGGACTTCAACGTAAAGCAGAGTTTGAGGAAGTATCGAGGGGTCGTCGTGTAGAGAATTAAGCTTTCTGTGTCAAATTAAACATGTTGTTCGGACTTAAAATCTCAATCCAGTATCCGTCAGGGTCCTGGATGAAGGCCAGGTCCTTCACCTTCCCTGTGGAGGGAACACACACACACACACACACACACACACACACACACACACACACACACACACACACACACACACACACACACACACACACACACACACACACACACACACACACACACACACACACACACACACACACACACACACACACACACACACACACACACACAGTGTAAATCTCAAAATTGTTAAAGTTTTTCTACCGCCGTAGTTTCAGAGCGCATCGAGTGTAAAATACCATCTACAAGCTGATGCTGACAGCCCCGCTCCTGCCGCCCGCTTGTGGCAGACCACACTTCCACGCTCACTGGCAGGCCCGGACTGGCCATCGGGAGGACCGAGAGGGAGTGTGTATGTGTGGCGCGACTCGCGCGAGCGAGGCACACCTTACGTGTTGTTGTTAGCATCTGGTGCTAGCTAGCTGCGCTAACGGATATAAGGAGCTGTTTCAATGACATTTCGCCGACAACTGCGCCGAGCACTTGACTTTATGCAGGTAGCCAGACAGTGGGACATTGTACGAAAAGTCAGCGCAACATTATTGCAGCGTCCAGGCAGCTCCCATTCGAGCATATATGCCTTGAGCTGCACATAGCTCAACGATCCATCACAGTGTCTCCACACACACACACACACACACACACACACACACACACACACACACACACACACACACACACACACACACACACACACACACACACACACACACACACACACACACACACACACACACACACACACACACACACACACACACACACACACACACACACACACACACACACACACACACACACACACACACACACTGTATTATTGTATGAGAGAGGTTCTTGGTTGAATTGAGGCGAATATTTGTAATGTTCAGGTTGTTGTGTTTAATATTCATGAGACTATTTGTCATTGTTCAAATGATAATAAACAAACATATAAAGCATATTTGTCCACTCATATGTTGATAAGAGTATTAAAAACTTGAAAGATATCCCTCTAAGGTACATTTAGAACAGATAAAAAATGTGCGATTAATTTGCGATTAATCGCGATTAACTATGGACAATCATGAGATTAATCGCGATTAAATATTTTAATCGACTGACAGCCCTACTTTAAACACAAGTCATGTGCTCGGAAATGCTGTTCAACCATTGGTCAGACATTAAGGGGGTAAAAACGCAAATCCCGGCAATTTCTACCAGAGCCTCCGCCATGGAGCATCGGCAGGTTATTCTCATGCTGCTGTTAATCTGGAGAGTAACGGCGCATGTGATTATATAATCAGACAACGTGCGATAACAAACATTATAACACATAGGCCTATAATGAGAGACGTTCTGCAGTCAGGAGGGGGTTTCACCGACGGCAGGTGGCTCTGACTTTTATGTATAGTTTTTAGTTTGATAGCTGTTTTTACTTTACACGACACTGTTCAACACTTCATTCTGCTTCACTCTTTCACTAACGATTTAGAAGACATCCGCGTTCTTGTGACGCGTAAATACTACGCTTCCTATGTTTTAGTGCGGACTGCGTTCACACCAGCGATGAACCGCTCCAGAGTTCACTAGCAAGCGGTCCGGTTGTTTAGTTCACTTCAGAGGTCTCGGACTGCGTTCACACCGACCCCAACGAACCGCACCGAGCGGCTAAACGCACCAGGGTTCGATTCAACCGGACTATACACGGCTGGTGTGAATGCGACCTTAGTTTTCTTTTATTGATCATCTACATAAAAGACCTAGTTTCTGAGGTCTAAATGTGAGTTATAAGAGAATGCAAGATTACACGTTTTTGGGGTTATTTTCTGGAATAATGGCAAAATATTTGAGGAAAATCTGAGATATATTGATTCATCAAGTTCTATATACATAAGTATTCTTCTGCCACTAATCAAAATTCTCATTTATCTTCTGACTTTTTTCTCAAAATTCTAACTTTTTTACTCAAAATTCTAACTTTCTTATTTCAACATCTGACTCTCTTCCTCAAAATGTTGACTTTCCTCCTACAATTTCTGACTTTTTCTAAAAATTATTTAAAAATATCTGATAGTCTTTTAATCTGATTTGTTGACATTTATAATAAACCCTCTTCTTCATTCTGTCTGAAATATTCTGGACTCACCCGTCTCTGGTTTCTTTACGAACGTCACTCCTTGCTCCTCAAACACTTTGCAGGCGGCGTAAACATCAGGAACAGCAATCCCAATATGACCTGCAACAACAAAACAACAATAACAACACGGCAGAAAACAAGATTAGAGCAATAAGAGACGGAGATTAAAACAGTATTATTAGCCGTCATTACACAAGGACCATGGATAAACAAAAACATCTCATAATAAGTCAATATTTGTTTTTAAATATTGATCAGTTAGGATTATGATTAGCTTTCATAAAATTCACGAATATGTCGATTATTTTCTCATAAATGTGTTGAATCTTTTTTGAGTAAAAAAGTCAACATTTTTAGGAGGAAATCTGAATTATTTTATGTATAATTCTGACTTTAGAACTAAAAAAAGAAATTAAACCGTTATTTCTGTAAAACATTTTGAGAAAAAAAGTCAGAATCTTTTCGTAAGTAAATGAATCACTTTTGAGACGACTTATTTCAGGTACATTCAGGTAAATCTACATTAATTTATTTTAACTTTTCACCAAATCCTGTGGGCTTCTTGTTCCCGTTGTGGAACGAAAGACTTTCCTCCAGCTCTGACCCCCAGTTACTGAAAGAAACGGAGATAATTATCATTAAAACAGTAACATATGGATTATAGGGTTAGGGTTAGGTATTCATCACGCACAGTGACAGAAAACTCGCGCTCCTATTGGCTAGCGCTCCAACACATTATACGTGATACGCTAAGGGGCGGGACATCTCTAGGAGGTTGACCAATCACAACAGAGCCGGCCAGCTAACCAATCAGAGCAGCTCTGGTTTCAGACAGAGGGTGAAAAGAGGTGCTGCAGCACAGGCAGTATGAGAACAATAAAGAGCTTTTTGAACATTAAATTATCAGGTGTGTTTCAGTGTGTGTATCAGGTGTGTTTCAGGTGTGTGTGTCAGTGTGTGTTTCAGGTGTGTTTCAGGTGTGTGTATCAGGTGTGTATCAGGTGTGTGTTTCAGGTGTGTACAGGTGTGTGTTTCAGGTGTGTTTCAGGTGTGTGTGTCAGTGTGTGTTTCAGGTGTGTTTCAGGTGTGTGTTTCAGTGTGTGTTTCAGGTATGTTTCAGTGTGTGTTTCAGGTGTGTGTTTCAGGTGTGTGTGTCAGGTGTGTATCAGGTGTGTTTCAGGTGTGTGTTTCAGGTGTGTTTCAGGTGTGTGTTTCAGGTGTGTTTCAGGTGTGTGTGTCAGGTGTGTGTCAGGTGTGTTTCAGGTGTGTTTCAGTGTGTGTTTCAGGTGTGTGTGTGTCAGGTGTGTGTCAGGTGTGTTTCAGGTGTGTTTCAGTGTGTGTTTCAGGTGTGTGTGTCAGGTGTGTGTCAGGTGTGTGTCAGGTGTGTATCAGTGTGTGTGTCAGGTGTGTTTCAGTGTGTGTTTCAGTGTGTGTTTCAGGTGTCTGTCAGGTGTGTGTTTCAGGTGTGTGTCAGGTGTGTATCAGGTGTGTATCAGTGTGTGTCAGGTGTGTTTCAGTGTGTGTTTCAGTGTGTGTTTCAGGTGTCTGTCAGGTGTGTGTTTCAGGTGTGTGTCAGGTGTGTATCAGGTGTGTATCAGTGTGTGTCAGGTGTGTTTCAGTGTGTGTTTCAGGTGTCTGTCAGGTGTGTGTTTCAGGTGTGTATCAGGTGTGTGTATCAGTGTGTGTTTCAGGTGTGTGTATCAGGTATGTTTCAGGTGTGCTTCAGTGTGTGTTTCAGGTGTGTTTCAGGTGTGTGTCAGGTGTGTATCAGGTGGGTGTCAGGTGTGTATCAGGTATGTTTCAGGTGTGCTTCAGTGTGTGTATCAGGTATGTTTCAGGTGTGCTTCAGTGTGTGTTTCAGGTGTGTGTTTCAGGTGTGTTTCAGGTGTGTGTATCAGGTATGTTTCAGGTGTGTTTCAGGTGTGTTTCAGGTGTGTGTTTCAGGTGTGTGTGTCAGGTGTGTATCAGGTGTGTTTCAGGTGTGTGTCAGGTGTGTATCAGTGTGTGTCAGTGTGTGTCAGGTGTGTGTCAGGTGTGTATCAGGTGTGTATCAGTGTGTGTCAGGTGTGTTTCAGTGTGTGTTTCAGTGTGTGTTTCAGGTGTCTGTCAGGTGTGTGTTTCAGGTGTGTGTCAGGTGTGTATCAGGTGTGTATCAGTGTGTGTCAGGTGTGTTTCAGTGTGTGTTTCAGGTGTCTGTCAGGTGTGTGTTTCAGGTGTGTATCAGGTGTGTGTATCAGTGTGTGTTTCAGGTGTGTGTATCAGGTATGTTTCAGGTGTGCTTCAGTGTGTGTTTCAGGTGTGTTTCAGGTGTGTGTCAGGTGTGTATCAGGTGGGTGTCAGGTGTGTATCAGGTATGTTTCAGGTGTGCTTCAGTGTGTGTATCAGGTATGTTTCAGGTGTGCTTCAGTGTGTGTTTCAGGTGTGTGTTTCAGGTGTGTTTCAGGTGTGTGTATCAGGTATGTTTCAGGTGTGTTTCAGGTGTGTTTCAGGTGTGTGTTTCAGGTGTGTGTGTCAGGTGTGTATCAGGTGTGTTTCAGGTGTGTTTCAGGTGTGTGTTTCAGGTGTGTTTCAGGTGTGTGTGTCAGGTGTGTGTCAGGTGTGTTTCAGGTGTGTTTCAGTGTGTGTTTCAGGTGTGTTTCAGGTGTGTGTGTCAGGTGTGTGTCAGGTGTGTGTCAGGTGTGTATCAGTGTGTGTGTCAGGTGTGTTTCAGTGTGTGTTTCAGTGTGTGTTTCAGGTGTCTGTCAGGTGTGTGTTTCAGGTGTGTGTCAGGTGTGTATCAGGTGTGTATCAGTGTGTGTCAGGTGTGTTTCAGTGTGTGTTTCAGTGTGTGTTTCAGGTGTCTGTCAGGTGTGTGTGTCAGGTGTGTGTCAGGTGTGTATCAGGTGTGTTTCAGTGTGTGTGTCAGGTGTGTATCAAGTGTGTATCAGGTGTGTATCAGGTGTGTATCAGTGTGTGTCAGGTGTGTTTCAGTGTGTGTTTCAGGTGTCTGTCAGGTGTGTGTTTCAGGTGTGTATCAGGTGTGTGTATCAGTGTGTGTTTCAGGTGTGTGTATCAGGTATGTTTCAGGTGTGCTTCAGTGTGTGTTTCAGGTGTGTTTCAGGTGTGTTTCAGTGTGTGTTTCCAGTGTGTGTCAGGTGTGTTTCAGGTGGGTGTCAGGTGTGTATCAGGTATGTTTCAGGTGTGCTTCAGTGTGTGTATCAGGTATGTTTCAGGTGTGCTTCAGTGTGTGTTGCAGGTGTGTTTCAGGTGTGTGTATCAGGTATGTTTCAGGTGTGTGTCAGGTGTGTGTCAGGTGTGTTTCAGGTGTGTGTATCAGGTATGTTTCAGTGTGTGTGTCAGGTGTGTTTCAGGTGTGTGTTTCAGTGTGTGTTTCAGGTGTGTTTCAGGTGTGTGTTTCAGGTGTGTGTCAGGTGTGTTTCAGGTGTGTGTCAGGTGTGTTTCAGGTGTGTGTTTCAGGTGTGTGTCAGGTGTGTGTTTCAGGTGTGTTTCAGGTGTGTGTCAGGTGTGTGTTTCAGGTGTGTGTTTCAGGTGTGTTTCAGTGTGTGTTTCCGGTGTGTATCAGGTGTGTGTCAGGTGTGTATCAGGTGTGTATCAGGTGTGTGTCAGGTGTGTTTCAGGTGTGTGTTTCAGTGTGTGTTTCCGGTGTGTATCAGGTGTGTGTCAGGTGTGTATCAGGTGTGTATCAGGTGTGTGTCAGGTGTGTTTCAGGTGTGTTTCGGTGTGTGTTTCGGTGTGTATCAGGTGTGTGTTTCAGGTGTGTTTCAGTGTGTGTATCAGGTATGTTTCAGGTGTGCTTCAGTGTGTGTTGCAGGTGTGTTTCAGGTGTGTGTATCAGGTATGTTTCAGGTGTGTGTCAGGTGTGTTTCAGGTGTGTGTCAGGTGTGTTTCAGGTGTGTGTATCAGGTATGTTTCAGTGTGTGTGTCAGGTGTGTTTCAGGTGTGTGTTTCAGTGTGTGTTTCAGGTGTGTTTCAGGTGTGTGTTTCAGGTGTGTGTCAGGTGTGTTTCAGGTGTGTGTCAGGTGTGTGTTTCAGGTGTGTGTTTCAGGTGTGTGTCAGGTGTGTGTTTCAGGTGTGTTTCAGGTGTGTTTCAGGTGTGTGTCAGGTGTGTGTTTCAGGTGTGTGTTTCAGGTGTGTTTCAGTGTGTGTTTCCGGTGTGTATCAGGTGTGTGTTTCAGGTGTGTGTTTCAGTGTGTGTTTCAGGTATGTTTCAGGTGTGTGTTTCAGGTGTGTGTCAGGTGTGTTTCAGGTGTGTGTTTCAGGTGTGTGTCAGGTGTGTGTTTCAGGTGTGTTTCAGGTGTGTTTCAGGTGTGTGTCAGGTGTGTGTTTCAGGTGTGTGTTTCAGGTGTGTTTCAGTGTGTGTTTCCGGTGTGTATCAGGTGTGTGTCAGGTGTGTATCAGGTGTGTATCAGGTGTGTGTCAGGTGTGTTTCAGGTGTGTGTTTCAGTGTGTGTTTCAGGTGTGTGTCAGGTGTGTTTCAGGTGTGTTTCAGTGTGTGTTTCGGTGTGTATCAGGTGTGTTTCAGGTGTGTTTCAGGTGTGTTTCAGTGTGTGTTTCCGGTGTGTATCAGGTGTGTAATCAGGTGTGTTTCAGTGTGTGTATCAGGTGTGTGTTTCAGGTGTGTGTCAGGTGTGTATCAGGTGTGTGTATCAGGTGTGTGTTTCAGGTGTGTTTCAGGTGTGTATCAGGTGTGTGTATCAGGTGTGTGTATCAGGTGTGTGTTTCAGGTGTGTTTCAGTGTGTGTTTCCGGTGTGTATCAGGTGGGTGTCAGGTGTGTATCAGGTGTGTGTATCAGGTGGGTGTCAGGTGTGTATCAGGTGTGTAATCAGGTGTGTTTCAGGTGTGTAATCAGGTGTGTTTCAGTGTGTGTGTCAGGTGTGTTTCAGGTGTGTGTTTCGTACTGTGTGAGTTCGATGGTGGCTCTGCGGCTAAACGTCCAGGCCGTTCGCTCCTTGATTTCTTCGGGAATGTCCGACTTTTCCTCGAAGCCCAAAAAGTAAAGAGTGAAGCGCATCGAGGGAAAGTCGATCTTCTGCAGTAAACTGGAGAAAACACACATTTAGTTCATGTTTTCACACCTGATCAGCCTTTGTTCATCGGATGTGTTTTTAAACGTTTCTGTAAAAAAAAGTCGGAATTTGTGTGGAAAAAAGTCAGATTTTTTTTACAAAAGAAAGTCCGAATTTCTCGGAAAAGAATCTGAATTATTTTATCTCAGAATTCAGACTTTAATCCCAGAACAAACAAAAAAAATGCCAACCGTTATTTCTGTCAAAACATAGAATACAGTGAGGCTTGATTCTTTCACTGTTAAAACATTGCATGACTTTCAGTTTAAAGAGAGCAGAGTAAATTGAATAAAATATATTCTTATATTCAGTCTTAGAGAAGTTAAACCGTTATTTCTGTACAACATTTTTTGAAAAAGTCAGACATTTTAGAAAAAAGTAAGAATTTTGAGACAAAAAAACTGAATTCAGGAAAATAACGTCAGGAATTTGAGAAAAAAAGTCAGAATCCAAGAACTGTAAAACATAGGATATTGTGAGGTCCCACTTCGATGCCTTCACTGTCAAACATTGCATGATTTTCAGTTTAAAGAAAGCAGCGTAAATTAAATTAAACACATTCGATGATCCTCCGATAACTTCGCTCTTACAGAAGTTAGAGGTTTTTGAGGACTCACGTCATCCCGAGGACTCGCGTGTAGAAATCCAGAGATCTGACCGGGTCTTTCACTCGGAGCATCGTCTGCTGCATCATGAAGTCCTGAACCAAGTATTCAGATACTTTACTATACATACATTCACACATACATACATTCACACATACATACATTCACACATACATACATTCACACATACATACATACATACATACATACATACATACATACATACATATAATCAAACATAGACAGCTTTATACATGTGCACACATCATGAGCACAACAGTCAAAATGTACAAAATAACAGTCACTTTAAAACAGAGGAGGATGAATAAATTACACTAAAAATATGAACAGTAGTGCAAAGTGTCAAAAAGTGCCTGGTGCTGGATGTATGTGTGTGTGTGTGTGTGTGTGTGTGTGTGTGTGTGTGTGTGTGTGTGTGTGTGTGTGTGTGTGTGTGTGTGTGATTATTTGTTAACACCACAAACACTGGCAATTGGTCACTTCCTATCTCACAGGTGTGTTTTCAGGTGTTTAGTGCACCTGTACTACGAAGCCAGTCCAACAGACCTGGATCTCTCTGAGTTATCTTACCTAACCCAAAACAAACGCGCTCTCGCTAAGCGGTCCTACGACGCTGGTTATCAACTCGGTGACTCAAGCCAGGGTTTCTCCGTCCGGCTGAGTGCGCGTTCACATGAAAGGGGCGGGGCTAGCAACATTTGACCAATCACAAACAGGAACAAGCGTACTGACAGCGCAGCGTCATACTTCCTGAATGAAAAGTGAACTTTAATATTAGACAAATATGAAGAAGTTAAACTTTAAAACCTGCTCCGGAGCAGGTTAGCCGCTCAGCATCAGTTACCATGGAGATCTAGCCCGCTAAAAAGAGAACCAGCGTCGTAGGACCGGAAACACAGAGTTTTCCCTGAAGTCAGCTCTCTAAGAGAAAATCCGGCTTTGTAGTACAGGCCTCTAGGGAAGAGCTATTCTCAGATATTGTCTCTTGGTCCGGTGCAAAGAGGATTATTGATGTTATTGCTTTGTTAATAAATGGCACAATCAACAACAACAACAGCACAGCAGGGACTCTTCTTGCAGCGCGTCAAAGTGAACGTTTTAGCCTCTCTGTTGCATCAAGAACTTAAAGACAAAGTTCTGACACACACATGATTCATGTTTAGCACTTTCTTTATGAGCTTTTGTAATATATTAGTAAATGTTACACCTCTCTGTACCGTGCATTAACGTTTATCACCTGGAACCAGACGGGTAGGAAATACAGGTTTAGGGGAGAGTCTCTTTAAACATGAGGCTGATTATAAACTACAACCTGACAGCTATAGTTGGGTCTCTCACACACACACACACACACACACACACACACACACACACACACACACACACACACACACACACACACACACACACACTCTAAAGGAAATGTTACATTATTAGAGGATAAGCTGTATATCTAGTAATGTAAATTAGATATTAAGCTGATTTAGGAGAATCATAGGAGCTTTATTATAATGTATTACAGTATATTTTGTTTACAGTGTCTGCAGTTATATTCATTGTGTCTGGTTTACTTTTGAGAATTAGCATATTTGCTCGTTTCCTCATTGCATTTGTGTCCATTTATATTTAAATGCAAATACCAAACCCCCTATACAAGTGTTTTATACTCAATACAATTAGTATTTTGTAAAAACACATCCCTTAGTGTGTGTGTGATGCAAAAATAACACTTTTTGAGTGGTTCGTTTAATGTTTTGAGCTTTTCACACCCAGGTCAGACTGCACTACACACCTCTAAAAAAGCTCCATCATGAAATAAAGTAGATATTTATTCTCATTAAATCAGATGTATTTTTTATATATATATAGATATGTATGGTTTCTCTCACCCCGGTGATGGGGTCTCCCTCTTTACAGGCTGCAGAAACTGCTTCTTCAGACATTCCTCCTTGAGACGCCATCTTTCTGACACTGAACGCACCACTGCCTTCTTCTCTGCGGCGATGCGTTCAGGTGCAGGCCAGAAAAATATCTGAGATGTGAGAAACGGTCATATAATTACTACAAGTAACTATAATTGAAACTTGTTTAAGTCAATCTCATTCTGTAATATCGTTTTTATTTGTATTTAATCTGTGTATTTGCCTCTTCTCTGCTTCTAAACAACACCTTTCTCCAAGGTATCACAGAGAAGTCCCGGTTAAGAAACTTCCGACAGGACTTGAATGCAGCAGGGCGGAGGTACAGCCAGGTGTTTCTGTGATGCCTTCAGGTGACTGAACTCTAGGAAGGAAACGCCCAAGACTTTAAAGAGAAATGCAGCGGAGCAGAAAATAAAAAGAGAAAAATCCACAAAGAATAATCAAATAAAAAATATATTAAAAAAATATCAATAAATAAAAAACAATTTAGTGAAAATTCCTTAACAAATAATAAAGACGAACAAAATAAAAATAAATAAATACAAAATAATTAATAATAATAAAAATAATATATAAAAATAATATATATATATATAAATGTAATAATATAATAAATAAAACATAAATAATTATTAAAGAAAAGATATATTTAAACTGCAAAAAAACAGCTAATTTCATATTTATTTTGGTATATTGAGCATATACTAAATACACTTTAAATGTTAATGTGGCAAGGCAACAATGCTTTAAATTAGTGCCAGTTTTTATGAGTTAGTCTAAAATGCATTTAATTCGTACCAGTATTTCCCCTTTTATTATACATCTGTGTTCATTATATCTTATCCTATTTTAAACCAATGTTCAGGGTTATTAATACGTGAAGGAGTCTGCGTTAGAGTCATTTCAGGGTGTTTCTCAGCTTGTAAATGTACTTTTATATTATCTAAACTCTTCTAAGTTCTAGTTAGTGAGATAAAGTGGAAAAAGTTTCTTGTCTTTCCTGCGACGACATTTGGAAGATGTGTGGGTTTCTTTTAGGAGGATTTTGAAGTATTTAGAGACGGGTCTGAACCTGTTTGTGTGGGAGGAAAACTGACATTAACACACCCTGATTTCACACACTTATCTCCCTCACTCAGGAAGGATGCTCCTGAGCCACTATTTCAAGGATGCTACGTCATCGAATCCCGCCGAAGGACTGTTCCAATGTCCAGGATCCTTCGAATTCTACCGAGGCCGGCGTACTTCGTTGCGGGAAATTTCGAGAATGCCCCAGTGGGTGTTTCTGAATGTCGAGGACGCTTCCTTGGTAGGACATGTCCCTCCGAGTCAGGTCCTTCAGAAGCGAGGCAAGAATCCTTCCTAGTCTCGGAAAACGAAGAATGGTGGAACAGGCTAACAGGTGTGCGTCATATGAGAGGCCCCGCCTTAAATGGAGCGCGATTTCTGCCAAAGATTTGGAAATTGGTCCGTGTGCAAAGCATTGTGGGGATTTTAAGACCGCGGAGGATACACATGTGCAGACTCGAAATGTTCCGCAACGATGGACGCCGGCCTCGGTAGAATTCCAAGTATCCTGGACATTGGAACAGTCCTTCGGCGGCACTCGATGACGTAGTATGCTTGAAATAGTGGCTCTGGAGCAGCCTTCCTCGACATTGAGAAACACCCTGTGTATCCTCCGCGCTCTTAAAATCCCCACAATGCTTTGCGCACGGACCAATTTCCAAAATGTAAGGCGGGGCCTCTCATATGACGCACACCTGCACACTCGCTAGCCTGTTCCATTCTTCGTTCTCCGAATGCCAGGATTCTTGCCTCGCTTCTGAAGGACCTGACTCGGAAGGACATGTCCTACCAAGGAAGCGTCCTCGACTTTGAGAAACAGCCACACTCTCACAACACATTGCACGTGATAAGCTAAGGGGCGGGACATCTCTAAGCCAATCACAACAGAGCCGGCCAGCTAACCAATCAGAGCAGACTGGGCTCTGAAAAGAAAAGTCGGAGTTTTGGGGAAAATAATTCAGATTTTCGAAAATCTTAATTATTTAAAGAAAGCTAACCAATCAGAGCAGACTGGGCTCTGGTTTCAGACAGAGGGTGAAAAGAGGTGCTGCAGCACAGGCAGTATGAGAACAATAAAGAGCTTTTTGAACATTAAAGGTGGTGTAGGTAAGTTTGAGAAACCGGCTCGAGATACACTTTTTGTTATATTCCATGGAATGCTCTTAACATCCCGATAGCAATGAATATCTGAAGTGCTTTGACAAAAAATCCATAAATAAATATCATCTGTGGAAGCCGTAGTACTGTAAAAAGCACGACCAATCATCTGAGTCGGCCCCGGCTAAAATAACTGGATGGCCTACCTGCCTGTCAGCCTTCCATCGGGGCACAAACTTATCTCGTGCCCTCATTGGTCATGTGCGCGTTCGTGTGTGTTGGAGGAGGGGCTCTGTAAGGAAGTGGGAGATTTTCTCCGGTTGTGTATTTTCAAATTCTAGCGCACTCGAGCCGGTTTCTCAAACTTACCTACCCCACCTTTAAAGTGAGTTTGTGAAGAAGTAAAACATGACTTTAGTGACATCTGGTGGTCAAATGAGATGTACTTTATTAAAAAGAGTGGTACTTTAATTTAACCAATATTCTGCAAGACAAACAATGATCGTCTGTAAAGATAGAAAGTAGAATCAGAGTTTAAAAAAAATATATATTTATAAAGTAAGGAATATTGAAAATTACAAGATTTTTTTAACAATATGATCAGCATGCTGGCTCTGATGACTACATACAAATAAATACAAATGGATAAAAAAGAACAATAAATAATGGGTATCAGGGAAAAGAAAACGTCTCAAAAATGAATGGATGCAAAGGGTAAATAATATTGAGCCTGAATTTAAGGGTTTTTCCAGATTTGAACGTGGCTCCAAATTTCAAAGCAAAAATCTCTCAAACTTTTTCCTAAAATCACGTTTTATTTTATTTAACAAAATGCAATAAACTCCAACGACAAACAAACATGAGCAGATAAAAAAGTCACACAAAAAAAAGCAACCAAACAATATTTACATTGTACAGATTCTGATCTTCTCTAAAAGGGTTAACGTTAAACTCTGAAGACATCTTGGTCTCCTCCTCTTCCTCATCTCCTCCTCATCTCCTGGCACTTCTCCTGTTCTCCAGCAGCAGCACGGTCAGCCGGCTCTTTAAAGAGGGCAGTTTGTTGCTGTAGTTCTGCTGCAGGACGGAGGTCAATTGGAGGCGGAGCTTCTGCAGGGCGCCGATCGGGGGGGAATTCAGGAGACAGTGGAAGAAATCCAGCCAAAGGTCGCGGTGAGGGTTCCTGAGGAGGAAGAGGAAACAAAATCACACGTCAATGATTAATTATTTTGAGATGTTTACACTTTGGATTGTTTATTTCTAGTCTTTTTAAATGTTTAATGTGCAATGCCTTGTCTTTGTATGCCGCTGCGACGCAAACATGTCCCACATTGGGATCAATAAAGTACTTTTTCTCTCATCTCAGGTCTAACCACAGGGGGTTAAATCATAACTGTGATTTAAATGACCAGAGCCACCAAGTTAGCGATAGCTAGCTAGATAGATAACATTCGCTTACTAGCTTGTTAGATCGCAGACGCTTAAGTAGCTTAATTAGCATTAAGTGCTACGTACAGAAGAGAGGTCTTTCGTGTTTTAGATTGATAGCAGCGTTAGCTAGCTTGTAAAGTAAATAGCTAACTTCTACTATCTAAATTGATAGATAAGAAGCTAACGTAAGCTAGCCAACTAGTGTGCTAGCCATTATGTTAGAAACACCAAATGTTACCAAAAATGTCCCAAATTGGGATCAATAAAGTACTTCTTATAGATATATTAAATCATAACTCTTAATTTAAATGACCAGAGCCAAAAAGTTAGCGATAGCTAGCTAGATAGATAACATTCGCTTACTAGCTTGTTAGATAGCAGACATTAAGTAGCTTAATTAGCATTAAGTGCTACGTACAGAAGAGAGGTTTTTGGTTTTTAGATAGATAGCAGCGTTAGCTAGCTTGTAAAGTAAATAGCTAACTTCTACAATCCAAGTTGATAGTTTAGGAAAGTGACACAACTAAATCCTACTTTCTTCCCATCCTCCAGATCAGATCACATTTGCAAACCAGGATTGAAGATGAAATCAAATGTATACAAGAACAAGGCTGATGGTATATTATATTTAGCATTTGATGAATGACATTGTATTTAACATCACCTTCACATCAGCTGTTCATTCACTATTTACCTTCAAAATCTGACCTTCACCATCATCTGTATACACACCATCTTTACGAATGAATTACCTTCTGAATACTCCGTTAGTCTTCCACTCTCCGCCTTCACTCGTCACCTGCATGTACGTCCCGAACAGCATGCAGTACACCGTGCCTGCTATCCCAAAGTAATCCGTCTGAAAACACAAACAAACAGTGAGACCTCGAGAGAAACCTGCATTAAATTAATGAATAAAAATGCTGGTTATTTTTCACTTTTTCTGCCTGTAAATAAAGGCTATTATTTACTATCCCATGTTCTCCTGTCTCTCACATGTTCTCCTGTCTCTCACATGTTCTCCTGTCTCTCACATGTTCTCCTGTTTCTCACATGTTCTCCTGTTTCTCACATGTTCTCCCGTCTCTCACATGTTCTCCCGTCTATCACATGTTCTCCCGTCTATCACATGTTCTCCCGTCTATCACATGTTCTCCCGTCTATCACATGTTCTCCCGTCTATCACATGTTCTCCCGTCTATCACATGTTCTCCCGTCTATCACATGTTCTCCCGTCTATCACATGTTCTCCCGTCTCTCACCTGGTAGCTCCAGGGTTTCCCGCTCAGCATCTCGCTGCACTGGAAGCCGGACGTCTGACACTTTCCGGTGAAAGCAGTGCCTTCTGGGAAAAGGTTCATATCGATGCTCTGGCCGAGATCAATGAGAACCAAACCGTGATCCACGCTCTCCAGATCAAAACCCCGGTTCTCCAGGAACCTGAGACACAAGCACAGGAACCATTGTTGTTACACTCTGAATACTTCTACTTTACTCAAGTACAAGATCTGGATACTTCTCCCTCCTCTGGTAATAATACACACACACACACATATATATATATATATTTGTACTACCTCTCCCCCAGCATGAAGTTGTCGGGCTTGATGTCGGCGTGGATCAGCTGGACGCCGTGCAGCGCCTCCACCATCTTCAGGATGCAGACGCTGAAGTAGATGACGAGCGGCTGCGGCATCACTTTGTCACTCAGAGTCTTGTAGATGTTCACTGCGTTCTGAGAGCAGATCAATGATGAGAGCAGATCAATGATGAGAGCAGATCAATGATGAGAGCAGATCAATGATGAGAGCAGGATCAATGAGAGCAGATCAATGAGAGCAGATCAATGATGAGAGCAGATCAATGATGAGAGCAGGATCAATGATGAGAGCAGATCAATGATGAGAGCAGATCAATGATGAGAGCAGATCAATGATGAGAGCAGATCAATGATGAGAGCAGATCAATGATGAGAGCAGGATCAATGAGAGCAGATCAATGATGAGAGCAGATCAATGATGAGAGCAGGATCAATGATGAGAGCAGATCAATGATGAGAGCAGATCAATGATGAGAGCAGATCAATGATGAGAGCAGGATCAATGACGGGACTTCTTTCTGTGGATTGATATGACTTCACAGGCTATATCCCAGCCCTTAAATGGACCAATCAGAATGGAGTATTGCCCTACCAGCAGGGTGCCGTAGTTGTGCAGCTCGCCCAGCATCACGCTGCCGTTGTGGAACAAGTGGGCGGAGCTTAGCCGGCCGAACAGCTGACAGAGACCGAGAGGCAGCCGCGCATCAAGCTGAGAGTCGATGTAAAACTCCCAGGGGTTCGCTGGCTTCTGAACCTACACACACACACACACACACACACACACACACACACACACACACACACACACACACACACACACACACACACACACACACACACACACACACACACACACACACACACACACACACACACACACACACACACACACACACACACACACACACACACACACACACACACACACACACCACACACACACACACACACACACCACACACACACACACACACACACACACACACACACACACACACACACACACACACACACACACACACACACACACACACCACCACACACACACACACACACACACACACGTAATTACATCCAGTTTAATATCCATACAGCAGAACATTGAGGGGGATTCACTCAGACTTTTATTAAGAAAGGTCAACTGTATGTATTGAAGAGAAAAATGTTTTGATAGGAATTGATAAAAAAATTTTTGATATACACACACGGCACTTTTCGACAGTCTTTGCAATTTACAGAAGCACGTTGCCCATAAACTACATGTCCCACAATGCATCTCATTTTGTGGCATGCGCACTGAAGAGACTTGCAATTATTTGCCTAGACTTTTGCTTTCAGACGTAGTTAATTATGAAGTTATTACCCTATTCGATAATAATCCAATGCAGAGGCAATAATGTAATATAACACATTATTTTATATACATTATATTTGTATAGGATGAACATGGAGCAGATGAAAAGCCACTCTAATGCACTGAGAGTGTGCAGTGGGCATATAAAGGTTATTTATGCCGAATAATGGGCGTGAAAAGGCGGGTGTTTACCTTCAGCACCACTTTCTCAGAGGTCATGAGGTCGGTGCCCTGGTAGACGGTTGCAAACGCCCCCTGTCCGAGAACACAGTCCACTCTCAGAGACTCCTTTCCTGTGAGGAGGACAGATTTAGTGTTCAACTCATTTCAATCTTCTCTTCACCTCCAAGACACTTTAAGGATGTTTAAAATACATCCAGAAAATCGAATATTTTGCACGACGTGATAACATTTAAAGTCAATGCAAAGACACAGATTCGCCCGGGTGGCAGAAGACACTTAAAATATGTAAAAGACACTTAAAATATATAAAACACACTAAAGGACAATTAAAATATATAAAAGACACTTAAGGACACTTAAAATATATTAAACACGGATTTGCCCTGGTGGCAGAAGACACTTAAAATATATAAAACACACTTAAGGACACTTAAAATATATAAAACACACTAAAGGACAATTAAAATATATAAAAGACACTTAAGGACACTTAAATATATTAAACACGGATTTGCCCTGGTGGCAGAAGACACTTAAAATATATAAAACACACTAAAGGACAATTCAAATATATAAAAGACACTTAAAATATATAAAAGACACTTAAGGACACTTAAAATATATAAAACACACTAAAGGACAATTCAAATATATAAAAGACACTTAAAATATATTAAACACACGGATTCGCCCTGGTGGCAGAAGACACTTAAAATATATAAAAGACACTTAAGGACACTTAAAATATATAAAACACACTAAAGGACAATTCAAATATATAAAAGACACTTAAAATATATTAAACACACGGATTCGCCCTGGTGGCAGAAGACACTTAAAATATATAAAAGACTTAAGGACACTTAAAATATATAAAAGACACTTAAGGACACTTAAAATATATAAAAGACACTTAAGGACACTTAAAATATATAAAAGACACTTAAAATAATAAAAATGAAATTAATGACGTGGCTACGCTTCATTCGCGGGCGTAACATTTTTTTCAACTATAGCAATACATCTGCATGACTCTGTCTCTTTAAGCCAATCAGCGGTGAGGATCTCAGCCTGTTGTCACCGACATTGAATCAGAAAACCAAAACATCAGCCGTTAGCTGTTAGCACACAAAGCTAACAGTTCCTCATATCTGTTCAGAAACTGGAGAAAAGTCTGTATGACGTTGTCGTGATTGTGTACGAAGCAGCTACTGGTTTATACTAATCGGTATACGTGTGTTATAATAACATCACGGCAAAATATGTTTATTTTCTTGTTGGTATCTACATGGAGATAAGCCCCGCCTTCTCGCCAGCGCGTCGAGTTTGAGTGACACAAGTAGACACCAATATTGAAGTTGCACGAGTAACACGGGATAAATCAAGGTGTGAATCAAGCCCCCAGGAAGTACTCTGTACTCTGAGGAAAATATTCCTAGTGGCCAAAAGGCGGTACTACAATTTCCATTACCATGAGGATATATTAAACGTGTAGATCAGTATGAGTGGATGCTCACCCATGCTGATGGTGGATTTTGGTGAGATGTTGGGAACGTTGCACTGCCATGTGATGCAGCGAGGGTGAGATGTGACACGGGGGTTGAGCGAGAAAAGTAACCCTGCGATCAGGTCATCGTCCCAGGGATCTGAGACCAGGTTCCCCTGCGTCTTGTCGGGGCTCGTCATGGATTCATCGTGCAGAAAAGACGCCTCCGGGCTCATGGGAACGTCGGCAATCCTCTTTATGGGAGGACTATGGAAAACGTCCAGGTCAGAACCCCCCCGAGGCTCCTGATGGTAGCTGCGTCATTGGTGGAGAAACGAGAGCATATTAGCTTTAATATATTAGATTTCTATCATTAAAGATCTTAAAAGTTCCCTTTTTATTGACATTTAAAGGTCTCCTATTATGCAAAATGCACTCTGATGTCTTCTCTACATCACCATGTGTCCCCGGTGTGTCCCCGGTGTGTCCCCGGTGTGTCCCCGGTGTGTCCCCGGTGTGTCAGCAGACTCTCAAAGTGTCAGGAAATAAACCCCTCTCTCTTTTCCTCCGTACCCACATCTCTAAAAACGGGGGAACAACGGAGCTGATCCAGATTTGCTGCGTCATGACCACATTACTAAAATGTGGGCGGGCTTTACAGCCACGGGCCAATCAGAAATGTTGCTGTCAGAAACAATGAGACATGTTCTGGAAGTAATATGGTCTGTGTTTACATTAGCATGCTAACACTCAGAGCTAACCTGTACTGGAGAGTACTTTGCCGTACTTAGTTCATCAGAACTCTTTAGTTCTCATGCACTTAGTACAGATCGCGTTCACACCGGAATAAGTCCCTGAGGGTGGATTACGCAAATGAAGCCGCTGACGTCACTTCTTCTTCTTCTGCTGCTTTGGGTTTACTGGCAGGCCGCAAACAACTTCACGGCGTATACTGCCACCCCAAGTCCCCGGCCGGAAAAGGGGGTGAAAAGGTTCTCATGAACTAAGTTCTAGTTCCGGATTTTTTTGGTGTGAACGCAAATTTTCGGAACTATATCGGAAAAGTACTCCGGTGGGAAAGCGCCTTATGTGTAAAGAAGACGTTTTTTAATTTTTTTTTAAATCTTCAGACCCAGAACCATCTCTTTAGTAACAGCTGAAATAGAGGGGGGTGAGGCTAGAATGATCTGTTTGGTTTTTTGAGCAAAACACTTCAGAGACATGCTTTTTATATATTTTTATATATCTGAGATAATGTATGCCGACAAATAGCCTGATAGGAGACCTTTAAGGATCTGTTTGTATGTATTGTGTTTTATATACTCACTCTGGGCTCCTGAGGACCAGCCAGTCTGGTTTTGGCATGTAATCCGGACTCATGGGGACGTCCTGGACCTGGTTCTGGGCCTGGTTCTGATCCTGGTTCTGGACCTTCTCCAGTGTTGGGGTATTCCATGAATCCTCCATGATGGTGAAGGGTTCTTCTTTGGTGTAAACGTCCCAGTTTGAGGCGCCTAGCGGACAGAGGGTTTCTGGATCCTGGAACTGATCCTGGAACTGATCCTGGAACTGGTTCTGGGCCTGGTTCTGGACCTGGTTCTGGAACTGATCCTGGACCTGGTTCTGGACCTGGTTCTGGAACTGATCCTGGACCTGGTTCTGGAGCTGGTTCTGGACCTGGTTCTGGAACTGATCCTGGACCTGGTTCTGGACCTTCTCCAGTGTTGGGGTATTCCATGAATCCTCCATGATGGTGAAGGGTTCTTCTTTGGTGTAAACGTCCCAGTTTGAGGCGTCTAGCGGACAGAGGGTTTCTGGATCCTGGAACTGATCCTGGACTTGGTTCTGGAACTGATCCTGGACCTGGTTCTGGACCTGGTTCTGGAACTGATCCTGGACCTGGTTCTGGACCTGGTTCTGGACCCTCTCCAGATTTGGGGGTTTCTGTGAATCCTCCATGATGGTGAAGGGTTCTTCTTTGGTGTAAACGTCCCAGTTTGAGGCGTCTGGCGGACAGAGGGTTTGCTCCCTGAAGGAGAGCTTGGCGGGAGGGGGGGGGTTCACTAAGCTGGAGGAAGATGATGAAGATGAAGATGAAGGAGGCGGGGCTAGACCCTCCCCCACGATGGTGCCGTGACCCCCGGAGGACTGAGCCAGTTTACTGAAGTCAGTGTCGTCAGACGGGCTCTGCTCCAGGATGGGGCTGAGGAGGGAGAAATAATAAAAAATTCATAAAAATGACACATTTTAAATATAAAAAAGACACTTAATATATATATATAAAAGATACTAAAGGACAATTAAAATATATAACAGACACTTAAAGACACTTCAAATATATTAGACTGAAGTTAGTGTCGCTCCATGATGGGGCTGAGGAGGGGGGGGGAAACATTTAAATAATACAAATTAGAATTAAATAATACATTTTATTTATAGAACGACCCCTAGACACTTTGCAGAGCAAACATTCTTCAAAAACAACACACTTAAAATATGTCAGGTTACCTGAGTTTTATCGTCGGACGTCTGATAGAAGCATCGTCCTCAGCGTCTCCACCATCACAGTTACTCACTGGAGGAAAAACATACATTATCATCAAGAACATAGCGGTTGTGTCTAAATGAGACGACTAAACGTCATCACGCCCAACGTTAGCCACCTTTAGCTTAGCGGTGGTGACGTGAAGTCATGTGACCGTGCTGTAGTTCCTTTATAGCCCAACATTAGCCACCTTTAGCTTAGCGGTGGTGACGTGAAGTCATGTGACCGTGCTGTAGTTCCTTTATAGCCCAACATTAGCCTCCTTTAGCTTAGCGGTGGTGACGTGAAGTCATGTGACCGTGCTGTAGTTCCTTTATAGCCCAACATTAGCCCCCTTTAGCTTAGCGGTGGTGACGTGAAGTCATGTGACCGTGCTGTAGTTCCTTTATAGCCCAACATTAGCCACCTTTAGCTTAGCGGTGGTGACGTGAAGTCATGTGACCGTGCTGTAGTTCCTTTATAGCCCAACATTAGCCACCTTTAGCTTAGCGGTGGTGACGTGAAGTCATGTGACCGTGCTGTAGTTCCTTTATAGCCCAACGTTAGCTTTTTACTTCAGAAATCATAAAGAGGTGTTAATATGTGGAGACGATCCTGCTGAACTAAATGTTTGTTTGACACAGAGATTGTTTTCTGCCCTGCTCCACTTTTGTACCTTTGTCCGCGAGGAAGTTGAATGTCATCTTGTTGGTGAACGGCGTGGAGACGAACTGGGCCAACAAGGCGAAGTCAGTGGTGCTGTTTGGACAGGGAGCGAGGGAGTGGAGGGAGTTGAAACCCCACATCGTGCTCTCATCTGGCATCAGGTCGGTCTCCTGATCACAAACACACAGGAAGTTAAAACAGACCAGAACCGAGGCCAGACAGGGCGTGGATAATATTTATGTAAAAACATGTTTCAAATAAATATGATGGCATCTGTTTCTAAATGTAGTTGATATCTACGGAGGAGGATTAGGCCACACCCAAGATCTGAACTAAAGTGTCCTCAAAATAAAAAATGTTTGAGGGAATAAAATCTGGATTTGGAGAAAATAGTGAGGATTTGCAGAATGTCCGATTTTTTGGAAAAAATAAGATCATTTTGAGGGGGGAAATATGAAACAAAAAGTATAAAAGAAAATTTAGAATTTTGAGGGAAAAGAATCAGAATTTGGAGTAAATAGTCATGATTCGCAGAAAGTCATAATTTGGAGAAAAAATGACAGAATTCGGAGGAAAATAATCAGAATTTTTTTGGAAATATTTAGATTTTTTTGGGGGGAAATGAGAATTTTCCTCATAATTCTGAATTATTTTCTCAAAATTATGACTTTCTGCGAATCATGACTATTTACTCAAAATGAGAATTTTTAGGGGAAAATCTGAATTTTGAGAAAAAAAATCAACATTTTCAGGGAAAAAAATTTGAATTTTGAGGGAAAACATTGAATTTCCAGCTTCCTGTGCTTTAAAAATGAACTTGTGTGTCTTGTTTGATATAACAGTACCACACAAATTAGAAATGTTAACTTATAGATCATTACAATAATCAAGCCAAATAAAGGATAAGCATGTTGTTGGACTTTTGTACGCAAATAATAAATAAAAATGTTTTTGCTTTGCTGTTTTGAAAAACAATAAGTGTTTAGGATTTATTTTCCTTTTCAAATGTATACTTTAAAAATAAAACAGGCTTACATTACACAGAGACAGTGCGGTAAAACGCCTTTAGATGTTTCTGCCATAGTATTCAGTAAACTATGATGAGAGTACGGTGTGGATGTGACCTCTGAACTCACGTTGGGTTTGTTGGAAACAGGGATTTCAGCGAGAGCTCTGATTGGTTTAGACTTCACCACAGAGGGAGCAGCAGTACTACAAAAGGGCAACAAAAAAAACACAACAATAATAATTAATAAAAACGTTAATTTAATTGAAGAATCAAAGAAAAACACATCATAAGTAATCTTTTTAAGTATTGTCACGTGTTTAGCTGGTAATGAAACACGTTCAGAGTGGGGTTTTTTATATTTACCTTCCATTTTCTTTGTCGGTGTCGTCCTGGAAGACGGTGAACGGGGCGGCGGTCGGGGGAGCACAGAACGAGGAGGCGCCTCCTTAAAAACGAAGAAATGTAGTAAAAACGTTAACCTTGGCGCCGGATATCTGGTTGTGTGTGTGCATGTATATCTGGTTGTGTGTGTGCATGTGTATCTGGTTGTGTGTGTGCATGTGTATCTGGTTGTGTGTGTGCATGTGTATCTGGTTGTGTGTGTGCATGTATATCTGGTTGTGTGTGTGCATGTGTATCTGGTTGTGTGTGTGCATGTATATCTGGTTGTGTGTGTGCATGTGTATCTGGTTGTGTGTGTGCATGTATATCTGGTTGTGTGTGTGCATGTATATCTGGTTGTGTGTGTGCATGTATATCTGGTTGTGTGTGTGCATGTATATCTGGTTGTGTGTGCATGTATATCTGGTTGTGTGTGTGCATGTATATCTGGTTGTGTGTGTGCATGTATATCTGGTTGTGTGTGTGCATGTATATCTGGTTGTGTGTGTGCATGTGTATCTGGTTGTGTGTGTGCATGTATATCTGGTTGTGTGTGTGCATGTGTATCTGGTTGTGTGTGTGCATGTATATCTGGTTGTGTGTGTGCATGTGTATCTGGTGTGTGTGTGCATGTATATCTGGTTGTGTGTGTGCATGTATATCTGGTTGTGTGTGTGCATGTGTATCTGGTTGTGTGTGTGCATGTATATCTGGTTGTGTGTGTGCATGTGTATCTGGTTGTGTGTGTGCATGTGTATCTGGTTGTGTGTGTGCATGTATATCTGGTTGTGTGTGTGCATGTATATCCCCCCTGTGTGTGTAATGTGTATAAATAAATAAATGGAGTGTTGAGAGGCATATTTACCATTCCTCTGGTACCCGTCATCAAAGGTGTTCTCCGCGGCGTGGAGAACAGACGTGTTGTTGAACGGATCCTGGAAGAGCGTTGGGGCCTGGAACATGTCCATGATCACACCTGGAGGAAAGGGAGCACACTTCATCACTTAGAGAACATGTCCATGATCACACCTGGAGGAAAGGGAGCACACTTCATCACTTACAGAACATGGTTCACTTTGTTGTGATGGAGAGGAGGAGGAGAGAGCAAGACGGGGTTGGACATTTTGAGGGATGTTTGAGAGTGTCTATTTTCAACAGAGAAATGTGTCCGAAATGTCCTGAATCAATACGGGAGACTTAGTCCCGTGGTAGAGGTACGGTAAGATAGCTTTTACGTTTTTACTTTTATGTACGCACCACGACATCAAGTGAAGTTCCTCGTACGTGTTTAACCTACCTGGTGATGAAGCTGATTCTGAGTCTGATTACCCCACCATTGATGGATGGGTATCGTTGAGGTTTTAACGGTACTACTACTTTTATCGATACCGCTTATCGATCCGGTCTTTTAACGGTACTTTTATCGGTTCTTTTGGAGAGAAAAATTAGGTAAACTAACTAGAGATGTCCCGATCCGATCACGTGATTTTCAAAAGATCGGGGATCGGGAATTCTTTTTTTTTTTTTTTATTTTATTATTTGATTTAATGTTACAAAACAAAAATGACCATGTTCACGTCTTAAAGTCATCCTGAGGCCTTAGTTTTGGTTTAAAATGACACAACATCATGTATGTGTTGCTTCTTTTGGGCTTGTTTTCATAGACCTGGTTGCTTATTTCTCTCAAATCTGGCAACAGAGTGGGCGCAGTGTCTAATAGTAGCAGTAAGCTAACGAGAGGCTACGTTCAGCCGGTGTAACGAGAGGCTACGTTCAGCCGGTGTAACGAGAGGCTACGTTCAGCCGGTGTAACGAGAGGCTACGTTCAACCGGTGTAACGAGAGGGCTACGTTCAGCCGGTGTAACGAGAGGCTACGTTCAGCCGGTGTAACGAGAGGCTACGTTTCAGCCGGTGTAAAGAGAGGCTACGTTCAGCCGTGTCAACGAGAGGCTACGTTCAGCCGGTGTAACGAGAGGCTACGTTCAGCCGGTGTAACGAGAGGGCTACGTTCAGCCGGTGTAACGAGAGGATACGTTCAGCCGTGAATAACGAGAGCTACGTTCAGCCGGTGTAACGAGAGGCTACGTTCAGCCGGTGTAACGAGAGGCTACGTTCAGCCGGTGTAACGAGAGGCTACGTTCAGCCGGTGTAACGAGAGGCTACGTTCAACCGGTGTAACGAGAGGCTACGTTCAACCGGTGTAACGAGAGGCTACGTTCAACCGGTGTAACGAGAGGCTACGTTCAGCCGGTGTAACGAGAGGCTACGTTCAGCCGGTGACTCGGGAGTCGGGACAGAGAAAATGTCAGGAGTTTGGAAGTATTATAAAATTGAAACAGTGAAAAGGCCAAAAGAATAACAGCCAAGATAGCTGAATTCATCGCGTTGGATGACCAGCCGTTATCTGTTACCTTTTTTTTCTCTTAATGCATTGCATAAAGATCGGATCGGGAAAAATCGGTATCGGCAGATTGTCAAAATCAAATGATCGGAATCGGATCGGGAGCAAAAAAAGGTGATCGGGACATCCCTAGAACTAACTAAACAAATTGAGAACAAAACTAACATTGCTTTTTATTTTAATTAAATACATAATATTTCACATCAAAAGAAACAACAATGTTTTAACAAATGGTATTAAATAATGTGATGACAGAACTGTAAACAGAATATCTGAAACTTTAACAAACTAAATAACTCCGTTCCCTCTAATCATTAATCCATGTTTGAATCATTGAGTTAGCTCCGTGTGTTGCTGCTAGCATACATATCACCTGACGTGGAAACGTTACTCGTGGATGGGGCTACAGAGCTACTAGAGAGACAGTCCAACCCGGTGCATTTCTCCGTCTGAACGTGGTGCACTTTTGCTAAATGTTTAGACAAATTGCTCGTGTTACCGCCCTGACATGCTGAACTCTTATTGCACTTTAGGTAACGAGCATTGTCCACATCGAGACGGGTAAAGTTGAACCACACCTCGGAGCGCGTTCTCTCCGCCACCTCCTCCGTGTGTGTGTGTGTGTGTGTGTTGCTGCATGTAGCAGCCGTGTGTGTGTGTGTGTGTGTGTGTGTGGCTGCATGTAGCAGCCGTGTGTGTGTGTGTGTGTGTGTGTGTGTGGCTGCATGTAGCAGCCGTGTGTGTGTGTGTGTGTGTGTGTGTGTGTTGCTGCATGTAGCAGCTGCGTGTGTGTAAACTGCCCCGCCCCCTCGCAAGCAGGCGGGCGAGAGAGATCGGAAATACTGAAAATAATTATAGACGCATTTTACAGTCTTTCTGCGTATTAGAAACACTAAAACTGCAATATAATGTGTGTGTAACAATAATACACATGAGATATGTTTTAAATGTCTCAAGTACCGATAAAAAGACCGATAACGTCGGAGCTTAACGGTACCACGGTCTTTAATAATTCAGCCCTCGGTACCCATCCCTACTGCTGTCACTATTGAGCAGAAGGAGTTTCCCTCTCATGCTAAACTCTACTTTAACCCTCAGATGCATGAGTGGGTCTTTGTGGACCCGGTGAGGTGGTTCTCTTAAAGTATCTTTGTAATTCAAAAAATGTATCATTTCATATTCCAGCTAGTCCTCAAAAAACATGTTTTGGATATCATGCCATTCACATTTTAAATTTACATTTTAAGAAATTGTGGTTTTTGTATTAGTACCCCAAGCTTCCATAAGTGGGTCAAAACTGACCCGCATGCATTTCCTATGGGATCCTACGGGAAAATATAATACTAAATATTATACAAGTGTTTTTTTTAACCAAAATGACAAAAATGACATAAAAACACATATTATTCTAATACGGGTCCTTTTAGACCCACTTATGGAAGAGAGTAGGGTCCATCACTCTCAGGGCATCTGAGGGTTTTAAACTAAAGGAGTGATTCTGAAGCGTCGGCTCACCCATCGCCTCTCTGGTGTTCACGGTGGGAGTCGCCTGAACGAAGCCCAGAGACGAGTTGGGGGTGAAGTGAGACAGGTTACAGGTTCCTTCCTGAGACACTGAGAGACAGACAGGGAGAGAGAGAGAGAGGTTACAGGTTACTTCCTGAGACACTGAGAGAGAGACAGACAGGGGGAGAGAGAGAGACAGACAGAGAGACAGACAGAGAGACAGACAGAGAGACAGACAGAGAGACAGACAGAGACAGGGTGTACTCACTGTTGAGCCTCTCCTCAAACTCTGGGGGGCGAGCAGCTTCCCTGAGGAGAGGAGAGAGAGAGGAATTAGAGAGGCTCTCTCTAAAGGTTTCTGTGCACTGGCATGGAGATCTCTAAACTGGTTAACCAATCACAACAAAGCTGGCCAGCTAACCAATCAGAGCAGCTCTGGTTTCAGACAGAGGGTGAAAAGAGGTAGCAGGAGAGGACTCTTTAAGGTAGAGACACTACATACTGATATACACCTGAACATCAGCAGGAGAGGACTCTTTAAAGTAGAGACACTACATACTGATATACACCTGAACATCAGCAGGAGAGGACTCTTTAAAGTAGAGACACTACATACTGATATACACCTGAACATCAGCAGGAGAGGACTCTTTAAAGTAGAGACACTACATACTGATATACACCTGAACATCAGCAGGAGAGAACTCTTTAAAGTAGAGACACTACATACTGATATACACCTGAACATCAGCAGGAGAGGACTCTTTAAAGTAGAGACACTATATACTGATATACACCTGAACATCTGCAGGAGAGGACTCTTTAAAGTAGAGACACTACATACTGATATACACCTGAACATCAGCAGGAGAGGACTCTTTAAAGTAGAGACACTACATACCGATATACACCTGAACATCAGCAGGAGAGGACTCTTTAAAGTAGAGACACTACATACTGATATACACCTGAACATCAGCAGGAGAGGACTCTTTAAAGTAGAGACACTACATACTGATATACACCTGAACATCAGCAGGAGAGGACTCTTTAAAGTAGAGACACTACATACTGATATACACCTGAACATCAGCAGGAGAGGACTCTTTAAAGTAGAGACACTACATACTGATATACACCTGAACATCAGCAGGAGAGGACTCTTTAAAGTAGAGACACTACATACTGATATACACCTGAACATCAGCAGGAGAGGACTCTTTAAAGTAGAGACACTACATACTGATATACACCTGAACATCAGCAGGAGAGGACTCTTTAAAGTAGAGACACTACATACTGATATACACCTGAACATCAGCAGGAGAGGACTCTTTAAAGTAGAGACACTACATACTGATATACACCTGAACATCAGCAGGAGAGGACTCTTTAAAGTAGAGACACTACATACTGATATACACCTGAACATCAGCAGGAGAGGACTCTTTAAAGCATGGAGTCATGTCACAGTAGAGTTACTCACTGCTGTGTGTCGTGGTTCTTCTCCTGATGGTTCTCCTGATGGTTCTCTTGCATGAAAACCTCTGAAGAGGTGCATGCTGGTCCGTGCAGCGACACGTTCATCTTCTGCTCAGAATTTGTGGATTGTGGTAAATACACGCTCCTGTCAGCGAGGACAGGTGCATGCTGGGAACCCTCTGAGGAAGAGGAGTAGGCTTCCTGGATGAAGGTGGGCTCGGTGTGAAGTCTCAGACTCAGAGAGCGTCTGCTGCTCAGACGAGGACGCACTGATGCATGCTGGGTAATATTAGGGAACAAACCGGGGTCTGATTCCACAACAGAGCGCTGCAGCAGAGAGGGGACAGGAGTTATCTTTCATAAAAACACATCAGCATGTAGTAAAAGTAGAAGTACTCAGATCTTGTTCTTGAGTAAAAGTAGAAGTACTCAGGTCTTGTACTTGAGTAAAAGTAGAAGTACTCAGGTCTTGTACTTGAGTAAAAGTAGAAGTACTCAGACCTTGTACTTGAGTAAAAGTAGAAGTACTCAGACCTTGTACTTGAGTAAAAGTAGAAGTACTCAGACCTTGTTACGTTGAGTAAAAGTAGAAGTACTCAGGACCTTGTAACTTGAGTAAAGGATAGAAGGAATCAGACCTTGTACTTGAGTAAAAGTAGAAGTACTCAGACCTTGTACTTGAGTAAAAGTAGAAGTACTCAGACCTTGTACTTGAGTAAAAGTAGAAGTACTCAGCCTACCTGTGAGTAAAGTAGAGAGACCTCTTGTAAAGTAGAAGTACTCAGACCTTGTACTTGAGTAAAAGTAGAAGTACTCAGACCTTGTACTTGAGTAAAAGTAGAAGTACTCAGACCTTGTACTTGAGTAAAAGTAGAAGTACTCAGACCTTGTACTTGAGTAAAAGTAGAAGTACTCAGACCTCGTACTTGAGTAAAAGTAGAAGTACTCAGACCTTGTACTTGAGTAAAAGTAGAAGTACTCAGACCTTGTACTTGAGTAAAAGTAGAAGTACTCAGACCTTGTACTTGAGTAAAAGTAGAAGTACTCAGACCTTGTACTTGAGTAAAAGTAGAAGTACTCAGACCTCGTACTTGAATAAAAGTAGAAGTACTCAGACCTCGTACTTGAGTAAAAGTAGAAGTACTCAGACCTCGTACTTGAGTAAAAGTAGAAGTACTCAGATCTTGTACTTGAGTAAAAGTAGAAGTACTCAGACCTTGTACTTGAGTAAAAGTAGAAGTACTCAGACCTTGTACTTGAGTAAAAGTAGAAGTACTCAGACCTTGTACTTGAGTAAAAGTAGAAGTACTCAGATCTTGTACTTGAGTAAAAGTAGAAGTACCAGAGTGTAGGAATACTCTGTTTCAGTAAAAGTACTGCATTCAAAATGTTCCTCAAGTGAAAGTAGAAAAGTATTCTCATCAAAATATAGTGAAAGTAGCGACAGTAAAAGTAGTCATTGTGCAGATTGGTCCATTTCAGAATAATATATATGATATGTTTTATAATGATTGATCATGAAAGTGTTCTCAAAGCTGGTAAAGGTGCAGCTAGTTTGAATGACTTTGTATACTGCAGGGTAGCTTGTGGATTTACTCCAGGTGGAACTAAAGTCTGATTTAACACTTGGTTAGATTTCACATCATTCATCCACATCTGTGAAGTAACTAAAGGTATTAAATACATGTAGTGGAGTACAAGTACACCACTTACCTCTGAACTGTAGTGGAGTAGAAGTAGCATAAAGTGGAAATACTCAAGTAAAGTAAAAGTACCTGTAATTGTACTTCAGTAGGAACAGATGCTCACCCTGTGTGCTGCCGGCTGGACGCTCAACCCTCCAAAGTCCTCCAGCTCCTGGTTCACTTCCTCCAGATTATATTTCGCCTGCTGGTCTTCCTCTTCCTTCTTCCTCATCTTCTCCTCATCTAGAAAACAAAACAGAAAGGCTAGAACTAAACGAACACCAGCACATACTAGGGATGCCAGAAACTGACCATGATCACATTAGAAAATCGGACAGCCCTGAGGAATATTAATAGATTATTCTTGGCTGTGTATCGCTAACAAGGAAACAACACCTCCACGGAGCTCAGCGCGACTCACAACGTCCCGACCAATCAGAGCACACTGTGCTCACAGGGAGGGGGGGGGCTGGAGCTATTGGAGCTACAACGAGCCGTTAAAGGCAGAGAGTGAAATTCAGTGAATACACGTAGTTTACAGAGATGCTGTTTGAGAAACCAATGTGAGTTTGGAGAGATGCTGTTTGAGAAACCAATGTGAGTTTGGAGAGATGCTGTATGAGAAACCAATGTGAGTTTGGAGAGATGCTGAATGAGAAAACCAATGTGAGTTTGGAGAGATGCTGTATGAGAAACCAATGTGAGTTTGGAGAGATGCTGTATGAGAAACCAATGTGAGTTTGGAGAGATGCTGTTTGAGAAACCAATGTGAGTTTGGAGAGATGCTGTATGAGAAACCAATGTGAGTTTGGAGAGATGCTGTATGAGAAACCAATGTGAGTTTGGAGAGATGCTGTATGAGAAACCAATGTGAGTTTGGAGAGATGCTGTATGAGAAACCAATGTGAGTTTGGAGAGATGCTGTATGAGAAACCAATGTGAGTTTGGAGAGATGCTGTATGAGAAACCAATGTGAGTTTGGAGAGATGCTGTTTGAGAAACCAATGTGAGTTTGGAGAGATGCTGTATGAGAAACCAATGTGAGTTTGGAGAGATGCTGTATGAGAAACCAATGTGAGTTTGGAGAGATGCTGTTTGAGAAACCAATGTGAGTTTGAAGACATGCACAATATAAATCTATTCTAGTAGGCCTCAACAATGGAATTATGATCAGTGGAAATGGCCATGACATGGGACCTTTAATACTTTTAATAAATCAATTTAGCAAAAATTAAGGCTATCAACTTTTAATACTTTTCCAGACCCCTGTTTAATGAACTAAAAGCATGTTTAGTGTCTGCAGTTTGATTTATAATCATGTTCTCACCCCTCTCTCGCTCCTCCTCGGCTTGTTTCGCTCGGATCTTCTCAAAGTACTTCCTGGCTCGGACCTCCTCGAAGCAAAGTTCAGATCCTTCACACTTCAGATCCTCCGTATTATACTGTGAAACCGTCTGAACGCCCGAACTCTGAGAGGAGGAATATTGATATATATATGAGTTGCAAAAAAAGTAATGAGGCCTCGCTGCAAGTTATCCCTCTGATCACGCGGCCACATACTAAACAAACTACAGACTCCACTCCCAACTTCAAAATGATCGTATTGCTTCCAGTTAGACAATACTGCACTACTGTCACATAGAGCTCTGAAATGACCCAATCGACCAATCGGAATCGAGTGTAATAAAGTGTGTTAAATTGTTACGGATAATATTGAAAGTCACACACCTTGTGCTGAGCAGCAGGTTCTCGTTGAGAGGACATCTGGTTTGTCAGGTTGGAGTTTTGCAATGGTGTACGACTTGGTGCTGCACAAGAAACACATGGGATTAAAACAGTTAAAGGCGGATATGAAAAATCCACTGGAGAACAATGAAGTCATTAAAGGTCCCCTATTCTGCAACATCCACTTCTTCATCAACATGTGTCCCCTCTTCTTCATCAACATGTGTCCCCTCTTCTTCATGTCTCTTCTACATCAACATGTGTCCCCTCTTCTTCATGTCTCTTCTACATCAACATGTGTCCCCTCTTCTTCATGTCTCTTCTACATCAACATGTGTCCCCTCTTCTTCATGTCTCTTCTTCATCAACATGTGTCCCCTCTTCTTCATGTCTCTTCTTCATGTCTCTTCTTCATCAACATGTGTCCCCTCTTCTTCATGTCTCTTCTACATCAACATGTGTCCCCTCTTCTTCATGTCTCTTCTTCATCAACATGTGTCCCCTCTTCTTCATGTCTCTTCTACATCAACATGTGTCCCCTCTTCTTCATGTCTCTTCTACATCAACATGTGTCCCCTCTTCTTCATGTCTCTTCTACATCAACATGTGTCCCCTCTTCTTCATGTCTCTTCTTCATCAACATGTGTCCCCTCTTCTTCATGTCTCTTCTACATCAACATGTGTCCCCTCTTCTTCATGTCTCTTCTTCATCAACATGTGTCCCCTCTTCTTCATGTCTCTTCTACATCAACATGTGTCCCCTCTTCTTCATGTCTCTTCTACATCAACATGTGTCCCCTCTTCTTCATGTCTCTTCTACATCAACATGATTTTGGCCACTTGATGATGTCATAACGATGTTTTGTCTTGTGTAACCATTAGCCAATCAGCAACCAAGGTAACCCCCCCCCCCACCTTATCACCTGAATCTCCTCCTAGAGCACCATTGAGTTCTTTGTAACCAAATGTCTCTCAGAGGGGCGTGGGGAGGGGCTCCTTATTTTCATCTAAAGTAACAGACAGAGAATCAGCACTTTGGAAACGGGGCTGAAACAGAGGGGATTATGGGTAATGCTGCAATGATCTGTTTGGTGTTTCAGCCAATCAGAGACAGGCTCTGGATATATCTGAGACCTGTGATATATTGATGAAGAGGAGGATGATAGGGGACCTTTAAGGAAAGTAAAGCACTCCTCTCACCTGATACTGGAGCCTGGATATGGTTTCTGATTTGAAACTGCCTGCAGATCAGATCACATTTAAATTAATATTTTAATGGATCAATTGCAAAATCAAAAGTCAACTTTATTGTCAATCTTTCAGTTTGTGTGTACAGAGAGATCAAAATACCGTTTCCCACCATCCAGAATACGAAAACAAATATATATAAAAAAATATAAAATCAGTCAAGAATTAGTTATTATTTATTATTCCCCAGGTGCGTATTTCTCTGTGTTTCCTGAAGAGGTGGGAAGTAGTGGAGTACAAATACTTGTGAAGGATGTGTGTACTTGTACCATCTCTCTGTGTACCTGTGTTCGTTGAGCACGGTTTCTTCCGGCTGAGCTTGGTTCTCTAAAGCTTTCTGGAAAACATCCTCGGCCTGTTCGATCTTCCCTCTCTGCTCAAACTGTTTCGCCCAGGAAACGTAAAGCGCCGCCGTCCTCCTGCCGACTCCTTTACTGAAAACGTGATTGTACACGGCCACTGGGTCCGGGTAAAAGCTCGCCTGAAACACAGAGGGACAGTTAAAGAAACGCTACTTTGAGTATGGGTAACAAAATGTAGAAGTATTACGGATGTATAATGGAGCTGCAACCGTTTCTCAGAGTGTGAGGTGGTTAAAAAAGTCAGAAAACGGCATTTTATTTGACAGTTTGTCAGGAAAATGAACTTTAAACGGTAGATGAATTATCCAAATAAGTGCTTTTCTATACGTGGCCATGTAAGCCTGAATAACAGCAAACTGTGGTAGTTACTAATTGGTTTTTTATTGATTTATCTTTTGCTTAATTTTCAGAAAATGTCAAAAAAATACCTTCACAATTGTATCAAAGTCAAATGTGACTTGTTTATACGTCTTCACCGTTGAAAAACCCCAACATATTTACTTTATCGTGATAAAAAAACTAAGAAAAACAGGAAATGTAGATCTTTGAGACGTCTGACAACGCCTTTTCTTTCATATCTCTTGCCTGAACTTTAACAATTATCAAAATAACAGGTGATATTCCAGAGAGACTCACACATCTGATGCAGTAGTTGACATATCGGATGTCATTTGCGTATTTCTCCACGTTCAGAAACTCCTTCACCAGAAGGTCCAGAGCCTGAGGCAGTTCACTGCTGGCTGCCTGGAACTCCAAGTACACCATGAACCTGAACACAGAGGAGACATCACTATACAGAGAAGACATCACTATACAGAGAATATATCACTATACAGAGAAGACATCACTATACAGAGAAGATATCACTATAGAGAGAAGATATCACTATAGAGAGAAGTACACAGAGAAGATATCACTATAGAGGGAAGTACACAGAGAAGATATCACTATAGAGAGAAGATATCACTATAGAGGGAAGTACACAGAGAAGATATCACTATAGAGAGAAGTACACAGAGAAGATATCACTATAGAGGGAAGTACACAGAGAAGATATCACTATAGAGAGAAGATATCACTATAGAGGGAAGTACACAGAGAAGATATCACTATAGAGAGAAGTACACAGAGAAGATATCACTATAGAGGGAAGTACACAGAGAAGATATCACTATAGAGGGAAGTACACAGAGAAGATATCACTATAGAGAGAAGATATCACTATAGAGGGAAGTACACAGAGAAGATATCACTATAGAGGGAAGTACACAGAGAAGATATCACTATAGAGGGAAGTACACAGAGAAGATATCACTATAGAGGGAAGATATCACTATACAGAGAAGATATCACTATACAGAGAAGATATCACTATACAGAGAAGATATCACTATAGAGAGAAGATATCACTATACAGAGAAGATATCACTATACAGAGAAGATATCACTATAGAGAGAAGATATCACTATAGAGAGAAGTACACAGAGAAGATATCACTATAGAGAGAAGTACACAGAGAAGACATCACTATAGAGAGAAGATATCACTATAGAGGGAAGTACACAGAGAAGATATCACTATAGAGGGAAGTACACAGAGAAGATATCACTATACAGAGAAGTACACAGAGAAGATATCACTATAGAGAGAAGATATCACTATAGAGGGAAGTACACAGAGAAGATATCACTATAGAGAGAAGTACACAGAGAAGATATCACTATAGAGGGAAGTACACAGAGAAGATATCACTATAGAGGGAAGTACACAGAGAAGATATCACTATAGAGAGAAGTACACAGACAGACAGATATTTTTATCTTATATTCTGATTTAAATGTAAAAAGCATTAGCTAAACTTCAGATTACTCACGAGCTCCAAGAATCCAGAGGGTCGTCTCCAGTATACAAACTCATGCTTTTCTCAAATACCCTAAACCAGGGAAGAGAGGGGACATTAAGAAGAGAGACAGCGACACAGAGATTCACTTTATAACAGGGGGGGGGGGGAGTACTCTCTGTACTAGAGTAAAAGTAGAAGTACTCAGGTCTTGGACTTGAGTAAAAGTAGAAGTACTCAGATCTTGTACTTGAGTAAAAGTAGAAGTACTCAGATCTTGTACTTGAGTAAAAGTAGAAGTACTCAGATCTTGTACTTGAGTAAAAGTAGAAGTACTCAGATCTTGTACTTGAGTAAAAGTAGAAGTACCAGAGTGTAGGAATACTCTGTTACAGTAAAAGTCCTGCATTCAAAATGTTCCTCAAGTCAAAGTATAAAAGTATTCTCATCAAAATATAGTGAAAGTAGAGACAGTAAAAGTAGTCATTGTGCAGATTGGTCCATTTCAGAATAATATATATGATATGTTTTATAATGATTGATCATGAAAGTGTTCTCAAAGCTGGTAAAGGTGCAGCTAGTTTGAATGACTTTGTATACTGCAGGGTAGCTTGTGAATTTACTCCAGGTGGAACTAAAGTCTGATTTAACACTTGATTATATTTCACATCATTCATCCACATCTGTGAAGTAACTAAAGGTATTAAATACATGTAGTGGAGTACAAGTACACCATGTACCTCTGAACTGTAGTGGAGCAGAAGTACAAAGTAGCATAACATGTAAAGTACAAGTACCTCTAAATTGTACTTAAGTTAATGTACGTAGTTACTTTACAACACTGCTGTATACGTTGATTACATTCAGAGAGCTAGCCGTTAGCATCAAGCTCATACCGGGAAACGTTAAAGACAACAAATGCTGACTTACTCTATATTAGAAAGATGATCCATTCTGCATTCAGTTTGAAACTAAAGTCCTTAAAGTCCGGAATGTCTTGTGGTTGTTTCCGAAAAGTCAAGTGTTATATTGTAGTAGTTTTTTAGCTTTAAAACATCAATTTCTCCCGAAGACTTGCATCGTTTCTAGACGTGTCGCCGTTTCTAATACATTTGAATTTTCGCGCTCGACCAATAACAACGCGAGAATTCCAACGTGCGTCAATAAGCCCCGCCCACACGAGTGACGAAGTTCCGGTGTAAAAAACCGAAATAAAAGATTAAAAAATACACAAGATATCCTAAAATGATCCAAATTAAAGATGTTTTTCCGTAACAGCAGCAGAGGTAAGACATTGCACATGAAGGAGAAGTAAATACAAATGGATTACAATAACGATATACATATTAAAACATAAACAAAATACCCAAAACAGTCAAACATATATCAATAATGAAGGATAACAAGCCCCATAAATCAATATATTTCCCCCATTCACAATATCTCAATATTCAGTAGGCCTATCAATCACACTCATGTACAGTAGGTGGCGGTATGCAGCTTTAAAGTTCTTTGCAATCCGCCAAAAACTAGTGATGGCGAGGTGAAGCCTTATGAAGCTTTCCAGCCAATTGGTTCGCAAAAGGGTTCATCTCATGAGGCTTCATCATGGGCTTCATTTGAACACAAACCCCCTGTTGGTCAAAGTGTGTAAAACAGGCAGATTGGACATCTCAACAGTGTGCTCTATCTCATACCGAGTTCCCAATGAGTAAAGCCTTAGAATAACTCTAAACAACGAACATTAAAGGTAGGGTAGGTCATTTTGGAGAAACGGCTCGAGTGCGCTAGAATTTGAAAATACACAGCCGGAAAAAATCTGCCACTTCCTTACAGAGACCCTCCTCCAACACACACGAACGCGCACATGACCAATGAGGGCACGAGATAAGTTTGTGCACAGATGGAAGGCTGACAGGCAGGTAGGCCATCCAGTTATTTTAGCCGGGCCGGCTCAGATGATTGGTCGTGCTTTTTACAGTACTACAGCTTCCACAGATGATATTTATTTATGGATTTTTTGTCAAAGCACTTCAGATATTCATTGCTATCGGGATGTTAAGAGCATTCCATGGAATATAAGAAAAAGTGTATCTGGAGCCGGTTTCTCAAACTTACCTACCCCACCTTTAAATCATATGTTCATGTTAACAATATTGTTTTTATTCCAGTTGAATGATTGTGATTGAAAAGCCTAAGGAGGCTGGTAAACATTGCAAAGAGGGATTTATATTCCTTAATAATATTCGTAAACTTAACCATGTTGTAGCCTGAGAAAGGCTAAACCATATCAAAGAATACATTTATTAACTACATTATCTCATTTAGCTGTAGCTTTTATAAACAACAAACAATATGTATTGTTCAGTCGTTGAACCAGGGACCCTGCGGTCGAGAGTCAACTGCTTTCCAGCTGAGCCACAGCACACACGCTGAATCTCCCTGAAAACACTACACCATATTTATTCATTTATTTATTCATGTTTTATTCCTACATTTATTTATGCTTGTATCTATTTATACGACATGTTCCGACCTCTATATAAGTGAGGGTCTGAGCTCTTTTAATTCCATCGTGTCACCGGGCCCGGGTACAGGAGGGGTAATATGGTTCTTATTATACATCCATGGGTATTATGAGCGTTGTGGTTCAACGGTTCAACCGATCTGAATCGCTTCCTGAAGCAGTCACGTGGTATCGACAGGCAGCGAGGCTTCGTTTGTCATCGATGACGTCACTGGCCCAAAACGATACAAACCTCGATACATGCTGATGCTTCTTCACAAAAAGCTTCGGGGATTACCGGGGATTACTCGACACACGCTCAGAAGCCTCGGCGCAATACTAACATCACTACCAAAAACCGAGAGAAAGAAGAAGAAGAAGAAGAAGAAGAAGAAGTGTGCACTTCTAAGAAGAAGAAGAAGAAGAAGAAGAGGTGAGTGGATTAAACACCGGGGCCCTTTCTCATTTCTCTAATTCCCCTCCTCGACTCCTATCCTCGTGTCTTTGCGAGCAGAGGAGCCGAGGAGAGAGGAGGGGAAGCAGCAGGCGGTTAGAGAAATGAGAACTCCTCTCCTCTGAGCGGTCATTTTAAAGAGACGTCCATTAATGATGACAGGAGGCACAGCAGCCCTCTGTCTGATGGACAGATGTGTTCATGATGACTTATATATCTACTTTAATTCATTAAACAATAACAGATGCGGACATATACACACACATTTATATATATTTATATAAATATATACAATTTCAGAATCAAACAAGTATGAGAGCACTCTCATAATAACGTAACACTATCAGAGACTGGATATATCCCCCCCCCCCTCTCCCCCCCTCTGGTCGCTACAATGAGGAAAATAAATTACGCGTCAAAAGTTTTATTTACAAGTATTACAAGTAAGCAGAGGACACCAAACCAACTGAGACCTGTCTGTCCGCTGCATCTACGCACACACTGCACCACACACACCTACACCACACACACCTACAGCTCCTAAAGCATATAATCAGGCTACAGCCGTTGTGTATTTTATTATGTGAAGCACTAAATGGTTTTAGAAAAATATCGACTCTTTGTTTGTAGATATCTACTAAACTAAAGCAAATAAAGAGAGTAGGCCTGTTATACTGAGTGATATATATTATACACACTGCTCTGCTTTCTGCACGGACCTCACAGCTGTTCTCTCTGTAAACATCGCGTCGTGATGAAAGCAGTTCATACAATAATATCCACGACTCTTTGAAACATCTCTGTTGCCGGAAATGCATCCACGGAGGAGCCGTGGAGGACCCTGGAGGACTCATCAGTGTATCCTCGGTTAGAGCTCCTCCAGAGAGCCTCCTCGACGCTCGATGCTCGGGTTGCGGTCGAATACTCCAAAAAATCAGCTCCTAAATTCTAACCCTATCGTCTATTCCTTGACCTCTGAGTGAAAGGTCACGGGGTTAAGGGATAGTGGATAGGAGAATTCAAAAGGACTTAGGAGAAGAGACTGCGGTACTTTAGAGAATCGACTGCACTTTCACTATCCGACGTGTTTATGATGCGCCAGCGGAGGTCATAAATGTGCGCCTGCTGCTGTGGGGAAACTACAGTTTTCTATAGTGGCGAAGTCCCTCCCCTTCCGGTTGAGCCCCATGGGACCTTATTTCGGAAAAGTTATGCATTGAAGTCAATGGAGAGAGAAAGATTATCTTTCGATCCCGTTTGAATTGTGCCACGAATTACACATATGATGTTTGTCAATTTAAAAGATAATTTTGCAAGTCAAAAAAAAAAAAATGTGTCGTAAAACTGTGAAGTAACACATTTGTTTGTGTGAAACGCTAAATGAACTACATCTCTGGTCAACCACACACGTCACCAAGATGGCCGTCACTACTGTCTTGTCAACAAACGATTGACTACCCTCACTATCACCACAATGAAACACGTCCTGAAGAATGTCATGCAAAGCTGCCTGCCTGCCTTCCTTTGATTCTCTCTGAACTGCCTGGTCGTTTTAATGTTTAATGTCAACCATTTGTGCAGATAGCATGAAGTAGAAAAGATCGCCGAGGCTAACGTTAGCGTTAGCATTTCTCCCCCGGAATTAAATGGTGTATTATAGAATGATCACACCGGTGACAGTACTATTCAAAGGGTTCACGAAATATGACTACTACTCTTACTGTTTAACATTTTGGGTTACTTAATGTTACTTCATGTTAAGGCTAATAAAAATGACAAGGCTGTAATGCTAACTAACGTGCTAGCTACTAGCTAGGTAGCTAACTTGATCAAGCCACTCCTGGTCGTTTCATCAGACGGGAAGCAAAAGAACGAGCAAGACCCATTGCTGGTATAATAACAACCTGGTACTAAGCACACAGGCATCTTGTTAAAGTTATCTTATCTTAGCCAGCGCCATATAGATAGATTATATCTATATGGCGCTGATCTTAGGTATCTGAATGGTGGAGGTAAACAATTGTGACATCACTTACGCGACTCTGGGATTTGTAGTCTTTCTAGTTACGTATTTTTCATAGTCTTATATTTCAACAGTTTTACGACAAACTGTGACTTTTTTGACATGGAAATTATTTTTTAAGATTGACAAACATCATATGTGTAATTCATGGCACAATTCAAACGGGATCGAAAGATAAGTTTTCTCTCCCCATTGACTTCAATACATAATTTTTCCGAAATAAGGTCCCATACCCCGGAAGTAAGTGGGAGGGACTTCGCCACTCTATACAGCGGACTACAACATGGATGTTTAATAAGAACGAGGGACTACTGTAAACTCATCTAGAGACTCGTGAGTGAGTCACGTGACTTTTGGCAGTAATATTCCGCCGTGAGAAGAAAAAGTGTTGTCGTTGTAAAAACAAGTTTTGTACTTGTAAAAAAAAGAGTTGTAGTTGTAAAAAATATGTGTGTACTTGTAAAACCTAAGCTGAATTTGTCTATGAAACATGATTTATTAGAATAATGGTATGTGTTTATTTGATAGATACGTTTTTTCTTTGCAAAACTAAATGCATTAGTTTGTAGATGGTGTTTTGTATTTGCAAACCACATTGTGTTTGTTAGTGAATCATGAGGCATTTGTAAAACCTGTTTAGTTTGTTTGTGGAGTTATGGCAGGAAATTAGCTCCATAGGGGACAACAGAGAAACATATTCTTCATGACCAAAGTTGGAATTGAAATAAAAAAGGAAAGTGAAACTTATGCTCGTCACCCTCTCCCTCCGGTCCACATTAATACAAATGATCCCAATACGTATGATTGTATGAAAAGATCTTAAAATCAATACAAATGTATTTATTATAAACGTTAGTCCTTAACATCTATCACTGTGTATATCACCATTCAAACATCTTTTAAAAGTTGAACAAACCCCACACAGCTCAGTAAAGACTGTGAAATGTTGACTTTATTTGATCATTTCAGTAAAAACTAACGTTCATATTTCTCTTTTTGATTATAATACTGATGAACGTTCAAAACAAAGCACTTTGGCAACTTACCACATACGTTTTAAAATGCTTAATAAGCACCGTAACTTTCATGATATCATTTCTCGGTCATA